GAGGATAGTTAAAGCTACGGATCCTCTGAGCAGAAGGGCTATTGAACCCGTGTTCCTTTCCTACTGATGTAAGCAGTATCGAAATGGTTGATAACTAACTTTGAGCACGATTGAGAATCCTTGACACGTTACTCTGGAGTTATTCAAAACAGTAATGGCAGACAGTTCTTCATCATTAAGAAGAGAGGCACCTCGTGAAATTAAGGAGCTTATTTTTGAGTGATTAATCGTTAACATCAAGTCTTTCAAAAAAACAACTCTGGACGATGGTTTGTGTTGCCACATCATTGCTGAATGCAACATGAGTAGTTTTATGGAAAGATTCTGCACCTCCACAAAGTGGATAGGCTCAAAGCACATCTGTCAGGCTCACCAAAAATTTTATTGAGAGAGAGAGAGAACAATAAAGACTGTCGTAATGCTAAAGTGGTTCACATCAATGCTTCATGATGCATGCGCATAAACAAGTGATTGCAGGGTCTGGTTGGAAAGCGCGCTAAACTTCTTGATTGCCTCACGTCTGTAAAAGTACACTCAACGCAATCATCATCTCGAACGCAACATTTTATCTCACTTTCTTACATTTCACCCAAGGAAAAGCAGTTTTTTTTCACAATCAACATCACATTTATCAAAAAGGCAAAAAAAACCCCAGGCTAAAAGGCCTTTTCTCACACATCACTTTAATGTAAATTTGGGTCCAGTCGTAGTATTCCACACGCCCGAAGCGGCATGCTCAATGCAGGCCTCGTAAACACCGTCCAAGGTGAGCCGATGCAGCGTGGCACTCACCGCGTTAACAATGGCTGCGGGGGGCGGAGCGCCCTCCGTGTCGACCAATCGGCTCGCTGCAGTGCAAAGCAAAAGGGGAGCGAGATGAGGAGCCAGAAGACACGCTTCAGGAAGGTGATCTAGAGCAGCTGAGGTGCCGTAACCCTCCAGGCAAGGTAGGTAGACCCGAGGAAGGACTTCATGAGCCTGCTGAGGACTATGGCGAAGGAGACGGAAGAGCAGATTCAGCAGACGTGGTTGGATCGAGGTCTCAGTGGTCAACGCAGTGCAGCCACTGTCCTGCCGGCTGGCGCCGCGGATGATCAGGTCCTCCAGTTCTGACTGAATGAGAGAGCAAGTAATTTGTTTGTCATTTTTTGTGTGCCACATGATGTGCTCGATATTCATCTTAGTGATTCGTTGAGCTAGTGCTTCCAAGCGACTAATTTTAGCCACCTACGTCTTGTGAACGCACAAGAATAATAATTGTTTCAACTTTGTGGTTACCAACGCAAGCCATTTCATTCTCTAGGGTTTAGGATTTCTACTTGCTGCCATGGCTTCCTGCTCACTCCTTAATAATGAAAACTTTCTGGGCGCCTCTGGTCAAGGCCTAGAGTACTACAATGGGGGGACGGGTATAAGCAAACCCGGCCCAAGGAAACAATAAACCGGTATTTTGATAGTTGAAAACCACGCCTAGGTGACAGAGGGAGGCCATTAAAATAATGACCAACTGAATCTGTGAAGGAGGACTACCGACTTTTGTCATCTACTGTATTGTGAGCAGTAATGAAGCAGGACTACATTTGAAAGAGTAAAAATGAGCACGCCTTGTTGTTGCCTTTGGAATTGACGCCACTGCATGCAACTTTGATCAAGCAGGCGCCATTGCTCCCTTTGTGCAATTGTTGTGCCACAAATGCTCGAAAAAAGTTCTTCCAGACAAGTAAAAACTGTGACAGTTTTATGCCTTACTATTGAAAGTGCTTTTTAAGACACAAAGACATCAGTGCAGCGTTTTTCTACCTTGACTTAATGGACGTGAAAACAAAAAACCCGTAACTTACTTGGAAGTAGACAAGGAATTCGACCTTTCTCTCAGTCAGAACGTCCAGATCGGAGATGATGTTGACGACCTCTATAAGATAGAATTAAAAGGGAAAAAAATTCAACTCACAACAAAGCACTATTTTTTCACAAGTGACTTTCCACATCTAACACTGCTCTTACGAATGATTACCAAGTAAAACCTGGAAGTTCTGACAGTTGGTGAGCATCTTTTGGACCGGTCTGACCCACGCACCGTTCATCAAGATGGCAGACAACAGTCAGTATGGGTGGCCATGAAGTGGTATGTTGCGATAAAAGTAACGGCAGGAGAGTCGTAAAACCTGAGCTTGTGGGTATCTACTCGTACAAATGATTTGAAACACAAGACACACCATGGTGGAAAGTTCAGCTGCCCAGTAACGTAGCCTTCGATTAAACGTCGTAAACATTTCAAAAATGTTCAACCATACGCCCGTCATTGACGATCTCGGTTGCGGTGGCTCTGGGTCTGCCACCACACCACTCATTTCATTTTTTCATGTCGAAGCAGCCCTCTAGATGCCAGTTAAACCCTGGAAGACTTCAGCGCTATTTAAATACAGCCGCATTTACATATGGTACATGTGTCGACAAACTATGTGGACAGAGTAAATCATCAATCCGTGGAGTCTGTTTTCTCATTTTACTTATTAATTTCAAGGCTGCGGATTTATTTTACCAAATGCGTTTATCTGAGACTAAAAACAGGTTCCATTCCATGCAAGTTACCAGAAAAAAGCCATGAGATGGCTTTCAGATGGAAATCCAACGGTTTCCAGTACCGAAAAGAAGAACAGTTTACGCGCGTCGTCTACACCCTTGATTTTTTTAAAAAAAAAAAGGAAAAATTCTGGTAGAAATAATGGGATGTTTGTTTTCCCACCTCTTAGCTAGGAAAACGGTCGACAACTAAGCAGGAATTCAAAACAATGTCAGACAGCAGTATTTGAAACACGCAAAAGAGTGGTTTTGAAAGACGCTTGATGAAAAGACTTCTGATTAAGCCAATGGAAGCTGTACCGCACAAGGCGGCAATTTTTTCGCCTTCGCAGAACTTTCAAGCAGTCAAACAATTTACAGGGATCATGAAATTTGCCGCACCTGTAGAGATATTACTCCAAAGGCCCTGGCTCATTGACCAAGTTTTGCCTTGGGAGTTAATGCGAGGAAGAATGCCTTGGTGGGATTAAAGTACAATTCCGCGTTTCAGCTCACTCTCCTACATCAAACCCTATTTATTAGACTCCTTAGCATTTTCAATGGAGGATTAAAGTTAAGCATCACGGATTATCTATTTATAAGAAAATGGAGAGACCAAAAAACAATGGTTTTACAGTGCTCCACTATGCTAACTTTACGGCTAAAATCGGGTTCGGGCTTAGGATAAATGAAAAAAAAAAATTCAGGCAATCTCCAAATTCTGATTTTATACGGAAGCGATTGTGAGAAGTAATTTTCCAGTACTCAGCTGTAGGAAAAAGCGCTGCGGAGAATGGCAATCTGAGACGATTTCATGACCAGAGAGTGTGCCAGAAGCGCAATCGCACTGCTGTCGCCAAGTGGTTAGAGTAAGAATAGGACTTTCTTGAATTACTCCTCATTGCAAGGTGAAAGGCCTTCGGCGGCCTTTATAAAACAATTTGTCTCTAGAAGCCACCTCGTGACCATCCCAACTTTATTCCTCAACTATCAAACATCTACTCTGCATATAAAGTGGGTTTCCGTCGGTAATGTCAAAAAGGCAATAGTCACTTGGATAAATATTATCAGAAGGAAACGGAGAAAGAAGATCAGAATAACACAGCACAAACCTCCCATCTCAAATAATATGTGCCTTAGGACCTCCTCACGAGCAAGTTTGGCATGGAGTCTCGCAATGTATTTAAATTAATGGTGAGGTTCACTGACTAGATACACCCCAGCCATGATTTTTTGGTCTTCAGTGAGGAAAATAATCTTAGTGAATAATTACGTCTGCAGTAGACCACACGCACACACACACCTACAAGGCGTATACTTCTAACAATGAAGTGGTGGGTCCCTTTGACGTTTGCGGTGGGTGAATTCTTTGGAGTGTCCAAGTTTGTTTTTTTTTTTGCCTAAATAACACTTGAATAAAAAAGCATAAAGGATATTTTTCATTTCGAGTCGGTCAGGCAGTCAGCCAGTAAAAACGCCAAAAAAGCATGGTGCATCTTAGACATACAGGTAAAGAGTGAAAAACAACATAATGACAGTCTTTGGAGCTTTCGTCAATCATCTGTTGATGTATGGGATGTGAGTCGAACCCATTTGCCCATCTTTTTAGCCTACATCAGGTGACATTACATTATTTCGTCATTATTCATGTTAAACATGACTTATAGTAATCATTTTACACGTCAATCTCCCAGCGTTTTCAATCCCAGTGACACAGAACTCTTTCTTGACGTGAGGGACCAATCGTCGATTTTGGACGGTGCTTTTCTGCTATCGCATCCAAGTACTGTCGATCCATTTTGGCAAGAAGCTAACTTTTACAACACTGCTACTGCATGTGAGGGATTCAAAGTAAAAGTAGTACAGAGCATGCCAGCATATATCTATCTACCCAGAGAGCTAAACCTAAAATCGCACAAACTTTTTCGCCCCGCGATTATTTGTGATAGTATTTACTTCATTGAAAGATGTGGCTAAATGGACGTCCAAACAAAACCGTGATCGTTAAGGTGCTCTAGCATTTGCTTTGCCTACATTCTTATTACACAAAGGAAGGGAAGCGCACACGGTGAACGCTTTCACATCACTAAGCCCTACTCCATTTTTTATTCTGATCAGATAATAAAGTACAAATCCATGAGATGCATGAGGATAGTGTGACCAAGCGTACCTAGCATACACTATTCAGTTAGTTGATCAACTCACTTAATCCAGACATTTGGGTTAATTATTTAAGGGTACCACGCCAATCGAATCAAGAAGCAAGGATTGTGAGGACACGAACCTGCACACAGTTGTGACTACCCTACACCTTGGTAGACAGCGAATGGAAAATATCAATTCATCACTACATTCAGTACCCGTCCAAGCCCACTACGTAGCTCAGAGAAGGAGGCGATTTTCCAACTTAACCAGTAGAACTGGTGAAACTAAGTTTTACTAGGATAGATCATCTGACCGCGATATTCGACACACACGATTTCAGACGATAAATCTACTCAGCTCTAACCCATCTTCATACTGCTCGCTTAAGAATATCCGAGTGATAAGAGCAAAAGGCCAAAAGCGAAAGACAAGAGCACATAAAAATTAGCGAGTTAGCATAATTTTAGCTAAGGAATCTTTACTCATTCATAACAACTACTCAATCGAGCGTTACGCAGCGACCAAGTCTCGTAAGTTCATTTGTGGCTTTACCCAGGTCAAGAAAGGATAGTTCAAAGGGTACAAACCTGTAGGATTAGAAGGATTTCGTAGACGCTGAATGAAGGGTTGGAGGGAGGTAGCAAGACTACCGTGTTTTGGGGATACGTTTGGTGGAGACGCGGTAGGCGAAGGACGAAGAATGGAGAGAGGAAGGGACAGCGCACACTCTGTTGCCAGCGGAGCGAATTCGTGCATCGCGCCCGCCAGCCATGCCAACTCTGCCCGCGTTCGACGGGTTCCATTGCTGCCTCCGTTGCTGTCACCGAAGAGGCCATCCTCAGTGCGCGCCCATCCCGCTGCGCTCGCATAGGCTAGCAACAGCCTCGCCAGGCGGCGGGCAAATCCGCCTGCCATTTTCGCTGCGTGGTTCGGGTAGCTGGCGGCTGCATGGATCAAGCTGGAGAGAATCTCGTCGATGCTATATCTGGAAAAATCAAAGAAAATAACTAGAGTACGAGTTAGGACTATTACTAACGTCACTGTCCACAGAGCTGAGAATATTAAACTTAAATGTCGGAGGAACTGGACCCGTTGTGAATGGGTGAATCAGAGGGTATTCACAGCGAAAGGGCTGTCAAAATCACTCTCGTCTCAGACTGCGTACAATGGCCATTGGTGGAGCGAAAGTGCATTAGGATGTCAAAGAGCTGCTTCCATGATTGATTTGATACCGACTACATCGACCCCATTTCATAGTTGTCGCAAGTCTCCCAACATCACAATTGTGGTTATGTAAATGAACCATTCAAAGGTGCAAACAATAGTCTTACTTCCACTGGCTTGAAACTGCTCTGAACCATCAAAGAAGGAAGGCGCCTGCAGTGGGTGATCAAGTCTACATAGGTTCACGGTGGAAGGGATACCAAAACTGCGTCACCTCATCCCAGCCAATCAAATCGACTGTTCTGGATGATGACCAGGAGTGGAGTAAGCTAAGGTTTGAACAACCCCATAGTTCTGCTAAGTCTCTCAGTTCTGGTTTATGATAAAAATAATAACATTTCTTTAAATAAACTGAACACTAAATATCGTTCTTTTAGACAAACAACATCTTGTTTTCGTAAATAATGACAAAAGCAGCTTTAAATCGAAACCGGACGTGGTGCAATCAACTAGGTGTACGAACATCCGGAGTGAAAAATATACGTGCAAATAATTCGTGGACGATTGTGTTGCAGTGTATGGACGCACAAAGATCATGAAAAAGGTACTTGGGTTATTGCAAATCGCAAAATTACAGCCCTTCAAAGGACGTGGTGAGATAACTACAAGGACAAAAGAATGTAGATGAAATGGGGACTGAAGGTGTCGTAGACGATTCGGTGATGATGGAATCACGTTTGGATAGGCAAATATATGGGTGATAAAGCTACGGAGCAAAACTACACAGCTACGTCAAGGGGCAAGCAATATTTGATGCTAATAATGTCTGTCAAAGTTGTAATGGCGACTTCACAAAACAGTATTATTGAAAAAGAAATACTGGAAACAACCACGCCAAGACTGGAAATACATTTTTGCAGTACAACCCCACTCACCTGTAATGCTCAGCCTCAGGCGAGAAAAGAACCCCGTTGGGTTCATCACACTTTCCAGGGAATGCTAGAACCTCCATGAATCGCAGCAGCCCCGCGTAAAAGTCGATATGATGACGGGCGACAAATTTGCCCCAGGGAAGAGTCCCCGTGGCCGAGGAACCACCACTGCTGGTACTCGATGTGGATAAGGAGGTGTCCAGACGGCCTTGGGAGAGGCTCGCGATCAAGGGGAGGAGACGGAGGCAGAGACGAGGATGATGGATGGCCAGAGCGAGGCTGGAAAGGGCTGAGATCTCGCGCATCACGTCCGAACTAGCCGACAGGCAGATAAGGAAACCGGGACCCAGGCGATCCACCTACACAATGGCTTGTAGGTTAAACTCAAAGTTCAATAGGCAAGTTAGCGTTTTTGCCGAGCAATAAGTCACGATTTTTACGATATTGCCAATAAAGTAACATTAAAGTGAGGACAATCAAAGTAATGGACGATTTTAACTCCCTACCTTTATGTGCATATAAATGATTTCCATTTTCTAATGCACACGACGTAGTTTGCCTTATTTTAACAGGATGATTTGCGGATAGTATCGAAAGAGGAACAAACGGCACAACTGATGCCATTTTCAAACCAAACTCGTTTCACCTCGATTCTGGCCAAAAGTGACACTTTTATGATTCCCCTGTGCATTGGTGCTCGACAGTGCACATAATGCAACCAAACCAGTTTTGTACCATTTCTCACTGTAAAAATTAAATAACCACAGAGATTTTCCAAAAGTTTTATCCGTTGAAATGTTTACCGACAAAATTTATCACACAGACTAGGGAAGTGCACTTTTAGGAAAAGACCCTGACCTTAGAAACAAAAAAGAACATCCAGCTCCAGCTGTCTTTACTTCCCAAATAATTACTATCAATGCCCTAAGTGATCACGTGACTGATTGATGCTAGCACCAAAATAAGGTGCCAAAAAACTGGTCAACGTTTCAATTGTATTGAGCATTCAAATCGCTACGGTAGTTGTCTGGCCGTTGTGAGGTAAACAGCTCTCCGTCAGCAATTTCGTTAGTAGCTTATTACGCCCAAAAAGCCGGTGTATTCTTATGCGGCTGGCCTAGTACTTGCCTCAAATGTTAGGTGGATAGGGCGTGGGTTGCCTGAGGACAAAAAGAGGTGCGTTTTTTGTTTAACAAACCTTGCAAAGCAAAAGTACAAGACCCGCCTCATATCACAGGTCAGCCAGCCAACAAACGCTCTCAATATGCATGGCGCGTCCTAGAAATGTACCCAAAAGAGGTGAAGAACAGTAAGTTGGTAGTAATTGAGGTCTTATCCGCTACCTATTTATGCACGGAATGTGAGGGAAACCTATTTAACTAGCGTTTTATCCTGCACGACGTTCTCTTGTCAGTTGATCCGGGTAACATCATATTTTCCCACCATTATTCATATTAGGCATCAATGATAGCGGTCTCCTAGCATTTTAAACTCTAGTGACACAGAACTCTTCCTCATAGTGATGTGTGCATTCCCGAGGGATTTACCCCCAGATTCACGTCAACTAGACCATTTGATTCTGGGCGATGCTTCGTGCTGTCACCCTTGGGTACCGTCGAGTCATTTTGGCAAGAAGCCACCTTTGGCAATCAAACCCTTATCGCGTCTATCAGATTCTACCAACACTTTAACGTATAAAGTTAGATTTAAAACAGGAGAAATAATGGAAACCGAAGTAAAAAATAACGTGCCGATGGAGTAAACCTCTTCTCTCGATGCTTTGCGATGAATGAATATAAACCATTGCGCACATTATGCAAGCGTCTACAAGGGGAGTTACTAAAGTAAACTCTACCGCTATTTGCTTCGTAATGAAGAAGTGAAAGGGAAATTTAAAAAATGCGAGGAGTTTGCATCCTAAAAAGGAACATTACTTTCAAAACCATTAATTGTGTCATTTAGATGCGAAAGGTCTTCCCACAAAGTGAAGGCAAATAGGAGGTTTCATTGCTAAAATACTACCTCATTTACCTTTTTTGTAAGTACAAAGACGGTGAGGCAAAGAGCGAGTGACATTGCTCATGAAACCTAGTTTAACCGTATTTGTTCACTTACTGTGCGATAGCCGTTTACGGGTCAGAGGACATGCGCAACTGGCTTGTCGCTTATGTGAGCACCGAATCTTTGAAAATTATTTGCTAAAAATACCAGCTGCAAGAGGGCTGTAGAGCTTGGAAAGGCATGCTAATCACTTTCAGCTGTACAAAAAAACTCCGCACGCAATTGCAGCATTAGTTTTTAAATTATGGAAAGATTCGAAACAGATATAGAACAGATTTGTTAGTGGAATTTATTACAAATTATGAACATAAAATAACGGCAAATGAACCAACGCAAAGGCAAGGAAATTGGCCTTAGGCCATATAAATGCTGAAGCTTTGAAGCTCCGCCTCCTATTTCAAGCACGTACAATAAATGATTTAGTATTCCTCCACCCGGCTACAATATACGACAGTTTTATTCACACTGAGTAAATGCATTCTCCACAGAGCAGTAATGAAACAGGGGAAGGGCTTAAAAGACACCATCTGCATCGAATTCGAGACGGCTCAACAGTAAAAAGACAATCCTTCGGATAGTAAATGGGGGTCTTTTTGTTTCATGAGATGGCTAGCTTAACCACTCAAGGCAGGACATTTGAATCGTGCAACTGTCGTACATCCCTAGGGTACAGCCGCAGCAGTCATTCCTCCGGGCATTCAACCCCTGCCCCAACAATCGGCGTGTAAATTGTCATCGAATTGTTCCGTGGCGATGGTGAACAAAGCCATACACGAACACTTGCATTTTCAGAGTTAGCGTGCACTAGGTATTGTTAGGTGGTTAGGTCGTTCAGACAAGCCTTTATGGATGAAAGCTATCAGGTATTGGTGCAGCTCCCGGAAAAGTGTATGGACATAGCAATGGACCACGCTGGGGAAGAGAAGCAGTTTGCACCCCTAGAAATTTATGTCATTCTTTCATGAACTCAAAAGTTCCTATTTAATTTCAATGTCCCCGCAAAACAAGCACTGGAGCCAACAAATCCACCAGTAAGAGATGTTACTAACAAAAGAAATGAATTCAAATCTGTGGATTTTATTGTGTGATTGACAAGCAGACAGAGAAAGTCCATTCTTATGGTGGATCGCCATTAAAAATAACCAATCCTGTTGCTTAACAAATTTTCTGGCAGTCTGCAACAGAGGCAAGTCGACCGCCAAAGTCCAGCTGCATTACCATCTCTACTAATAATACCATTTGATAACTTTTCTGAGCAACTTAACAGCTCCACAGGACTTTTTCTCCCTTTCAGAGCAAGAATATCTCACAGCTGTTTTTTTTTAAAAAGCGACTCAATCAATGTGCATTCAACGTTGTTTGTTACAAACTAGGATAAACTGATAAGGAACAAATGTCACACATTTGTGACACTTGATCCTGGTAGCAGGCATGGCAGAATATCCTACATTAGCTACCACCATAGGCTTCACTGACCATCTACAACTTATTTAATGCCCCTATAAATTGATAGACGCACCTCCTTCTGTTCAAAGCACTCGGGAATGCTCTCACTGGCTGACGGGGTTCGAAGAAAGCTTCGAGCGACGGAGCTCTTCAGAGCGTAGAGAAGGCCCGGTCTTCGGAGATAGAGGCAGAGTAGAAGACGCCGTGCAATGCTAGAGGCATCTGGAAAAGTAGCCAACAGGTCGGGAGGCAGGGAGGTGGGAGGATCGAGGAAGCCTGCTAGGTACTCGATATAATGAAGACAAGGCTGGAGCGAGCTCTGAAAGGCCATATCAAGGAGGGGAGCACGGGCGACGAGAGATTGATCACGGAGGGACTAGAAATGAAAGACTGAGAATAATAGAAGCAATTTAATAAAACATAAGCGTGGTTCTTAAACAGTGGCAGGACACTTTCGAGTGCGTTAGCAATGGTCTCACCCTTATCCTTTGTATTCATCTGATGATACCTCTCCAAGGTCCAAATGACGCCTTTAAGCGAAAATTAAGTGAACCAAATAAACATTTATCAAAGACAACTTTTCTTCTGTTTGCTAATAAACGCTCTTCCCATAACTTCGATGAGATTTGAGTAAGCATGCGTAGTATAGGTTGCTTCCCTAAGCGTGAGTACTAGAGGTTGGAAACGCCTAGAAATGAACCGAGACGTAACAAAGCACACATCTAAGTCAAGTGATTAAACACGCTTTAGATAAATACTGTTTGAAACGTGAAGATAAATGTTGGATTGCTTGTAGGAGGCTTTGTGCTTTTCTGCACCACAAAAGCAGCGAAAGAACGGCAGATATGCATCCCACTTGAAGAGGGCACAAAACAAAGCTATGTTTAATCTGTAAGAAAAAAGTGAAATATTTTACTCACAGATGGAACCTTAGAAGCCTCAACGCAGACATGCGCGATGAGACGCATTCCCTCAGTGGGGCTTTCTAATCGATGGAGGAGGGAGTAGAGACATCCGGGATCAGGTCTCTCGTGGGGTTCAACAAAGGGCATTGAAGAGGAGAATACGGGCAGATTGAGGACACTCGAGAAAAGGTCCAGTGAGAAGGTTGAACTGTAACAGAGCGATATTTGATTCAATTGTACATTTAACTACTTGGGTTCTCCAGACCCCATAGGTTTGGGTCACCACTTCTTGGAGGCATTTCGGTAACGTTAACAACCGAGAAATCAAAAATATTATCAATGCTAATAAAAGTGTCTTGGAACAACGTGTGCGAGTGAGTGTGTCTTCTATTCTGGTATATTTTGCTGCATAGCATTCAGGCTGAGGGGTGGTGAGGGTTTAAATATAAAGCAGCCGCGTTACTGGTAAAAAAAGCAAATGTTTTGATTCTAAAATAGCTCTATTCATCTGTCTATTTTCGTAATATTCAACTAAGGGCGAAAAAATGGTTACATTGACCGAATGGAAAGCCGGACAAGCAAAAACATCAGGACGATGCCTCATAATTAAACCGAAACAGTACTTAGGACCTGATGCGATTTGACAACTACGTGGACTCTACACTTTTCGGTATGTTATGAGTCAACCATATTCTATGCTGGTATGGATTATTATGACCCCAGGGAAACTTGGGCCATCACATTGGTAACAGCGATAAACAAATCCGATCTAAAAAGACAAATGCCCTCATTTCTTCGGGTAATGTTCAAGCCTCAGCGTCACAGAGGGAAGACATCTACTGTAAATGGCTAAATTTACAGACGCTCTAAAGAATGGTTAGCAAAGCCACGTTCACGTTTGATGATCAAATCCGCTTTGTTTTATGCAAAAAGACAACACCTGAAGTGGCACCAGGTCAACGTCTTGAACAGGTCCACAAGAAGGTGCCCAAGACACTTTTACGGAAATATATGAATTACAAAAAACTAATGGTAGTTCTTCCTTACCTTTTATTAACTATACCTGTTTTTGAATGGATGTATTCAAAAGCAGCGATGGCTTAATGAAACGTACTTTTAGACCGCTGTCTTGGCTTGAGTAGTGCGTAAGCAGAGAATGACTTTCCCCTCCATAATACATCTCGTAACCATGATAGAAGTCCAAGTACAGCAGACTCGACGGGATCAAGTGCCCTCTTGCCTATATGACCATGCAATAATTGCCGTTTCTAAATCGTGGGTTGCTTTTAAAGCGCCGACTACGTTGTAATGGTTGAAGCAGAATGGTTACCAAGTGAAGTGACGAAAACAACGCTTAAAGGAAGAAAGGGAAAAATCTACACCAACTGCTACGGAGCCTACACTTTGGGGGTACATTCTCTACTCAAGCCACTAATATGCAAGCCGGCACACCTTGACATTGTTGCACAGATAACTTGGGCAGAGACTAGCCCACCCAACAGGTGAAATGGACCTTTTAAATGAAGATTTAGAAAATTTAACCAACAACCGACAAAAGGAGCTCATAATCAATCCTTTGACATGGTTTAACGGAAGGCGGAGTTCCTATTTCCACACTTATTCGTTCAATCAGTTATTCAAAAGGTCAAATTTTACTGAATTAGAGTAATCAACGTAAACTTTTCTGATGCCTCAAGCATAAACTTTGAGGATCATCCGCTCCCACTGTATCCCTCTGATTTGGTAAGCCGGCTTGCTATGGAGATTGAATCTACTTTCCAGTACGAAATTGGGGACATTTTGTTAGCTACCGCAAAAATGTGATCCAAAAAGAACAAAGTGAAAGGTAGCAGCAAATCCGAAGTCGCATCTAAAAATAACACTGGTGAAGGGTCTCTAAGATGGGAAAAACTGGCAACACAAATGTTATATCAGCCGAAACCATCTTACAAACCCATAAATTACTGCGATTAGGCATTTGGACATGGTCGAAAATAGTTCACTTCAGAGACCACCTACAACAAAGATAATTTTCAATACAAATGAATTTATTGGATGTACGTTTATTGGTTACTCGCATTCTAGCCACTTCAACACCCAAACGTTCTCTCAATTAGTTCCTACAGCAAAGCTGGAAGTATAAAAGGAGCAAATTTCCAAAGGCAAATCTACACCATTTCCACAACACAAAAAGCTACAACCGTCAAAGCTGAACGTGACGGATGAAATCGACACTCCAACTTAGTGAAACCAAACATTACATCTTCTCAACTGCCATGCGATGTATAATTAAATCGAGAAAAAGTGACTCTGATATTCTCATGGCCTGTCTGTACCCCAATAACTGAGTTACTTACAATGACGACTAATTTTTGCTACCTCCATAAGTTCAAATATCCCTTTGCTGAGTTATCACAAAAAATGTAACTCATCGATCTATGCCAAATAAAGAGGTAACCGGCCGAGGGTGACTGGCACCAAACTCGTGGTCACGATGCCTTTGGGAGTCAGGTCACAAACAATTTCCACCGGTCTGTCTCTTTACCTCTACCCTTGCTCTAAATACCCATTTTTTCAATTATGCCGTCCACATCACCAGTCTCTCAACCCCTTTATGTGGTTAAAGCAAGGCTAGTTTCAGAATTGTGCGCTCCATGCTGCCTCCATGGATGGCTTGAGAAGTGAAATGCGCCCAAAATGGGACATAAAGCAGAACAAAGACGTAACTTACTGAAGCTGCCTAACATCCTCTCGCAAAACATTGCGAAGGCAAACTCGTAGAATGGTCGGACTGGTGTTGTGGACCAGTTCCTCCAGCAGGTAGCGCCGCTTCTTCATATGATCCTCCTTCTCCTCAATGTCAACATCACTGCCGATTTTCGCCAGGATAAGACGTCGAACAAGAGCCCATGCTGCATCTGTCGAGTCGCCGGCTGAGAGGAGGGCGAAGGAGACGCCGTAGAGGGTCAGGGCCTCCATCTGCTGTTCCAATGGCCTAAAAATATGTAAACTTCATTAAGTACTCCATCTTTAGGTGAATAATAGCACACAGTGGCTTTTCAAGAAAGTTTATGTGTAAGAAACACCCCCGTTATTAGTATGAAAAATTAAGCAGTGAGTCCATTTAATGTATTCCAATGTCACAAGCGGCTGGGAAGAGCCCAAACAGATGGCAGGCATGAAGCAAAAAGAGGGAGGTAAACCAGCATGATCCGCTTATCGGTACTAAACAAACATTATTTTTGCACAAATATTTCGACAAAAGAGATGAACATATGATTTGTTCTAGACCAGGTTCTTGTGGTAATCCCTAGATAAATCTAACAGATAGCCGAAAAAGCTAGTGCGAATTTCAGCATAAATCGGTTCAATGCCTCCCCATAAATAATAGCTGCCTACAAGGTGCAAGCGACGTTTCATGGCATATCCGTCTCTCGGCACGGTACCCTTCACTGTAGTCCGCCTTCCACCTTCAATAACTTAAGGTGCTGATTCGATCTAATGGATGCAAATCGAGTTTGTCTGCTTTGTAGACCAAGTTTAAGTCGGTTGTAAAATTTCAGAAGTTAGCTTCTTGTCAAATTGGAATAACAACACTTGAAGGATAGAGCAATACCACTTGCGATAGCACAAAGCACCACCCAGAACAGAATTGCTTAGTTGATTTGTTTCTGGCGATGGATAATTGGATAATAGAAGCATTGTGCCAAGAAAGCGTAGTGATGAAAATACTAGCAGATCGTCATGTAAAATGACCGCTACTAAGCATGCTCAACATGGCTGACGATGGAACAATGTGACATCACCTGGATCAACAAATGAGCTGCTATTCACTTGTCGTCACTCAGTCGTTGTCAGCTTGCAGAGGCAATGCAGTTTAGGCAGCAAGTAAACAGGAATACTCAAAAGGGTTGCCTAAATAAACTGGATTAGGCAAAGGGTACCTCAATTCAAGTTGATCAAATGTAAGTGGAAGAGCCTCAGAAGTCGCATCCTCCCGTGATTTGGTTCCCTGTTCTTCCACCCTTTTGGCAATGAGCGACCGAAGGGGCTTCAAAAGAAGACGCTCCAAGAGGAGGGGATGAAATGTAATTTTCTCAAATTCATTAATGCAGAACTCCGTCGACTTCTGATAACGACTGGCTGTCTGTAATGCAATTGCAAAGGCAAAAGATTGATGGTGAAAAAGAGATTTCATATGGCATTAGGGGTAGTTATGGTTTGGCCGACAAATAGGAGTGAGAATTTAAAAGTATAAAAAAAAAACATAAGGGCAATAAACTGAAGTGAATAGATGTTTCTCACTGTAAGCCAAAGCTAATTTCAAAGAGCTGCCATACCTTTGGATCAGAAGAGGAGAGTCCTGAGGCAAGACAGGACCGGATGAGAGAGTAGGCGTACGTTACAGAGGTCAAATTTGGAAGACTCTTGAGAACATCCACCAGCGGTGCTGCAGTGGAAACTGCTCTCCCCCTTTTCAACGAACTATGCGCCATCTGCAACTCCTAAAAATAAGTGAAGCAAAATGAGGTTGGGGTCTCAAGTTTGAAGGGATACTTGAAGAGAGACATACATTAACCAGATCCTGCATCCATCGATTCCTCACAATGAGGGAGCTATTGACTCGTGCTAGGGTGTAGCAGAACAGCTCAGATTGCGACACGAAGTCACCTGCAGCCTCTGTTAACCTTGAAAAGAATGTTCTCCATAGATTCTTGGAGCCGCCAGGGGGTTCGCGCGTATCAGCAGACATTGGTGGCTTGGATACCGATGTTCCAGCGGTCTCGGCTAAGACAAATGCCGGTTGTTTAATTACCGGTGAAGACATGGGAGAAGGGCGAACGGTCATACCTTTGGGAGTCGCCGGGGAAATAGGTGTATAGATGGGCTTTCTGGGAGTTAGAACTGGAGGTGCAACCACGTTCGAACTGACGAAAATTCGGGATGTGGTTAGAATAGGACCGCTATATTCTGTTACGATCGGATGCTATAATTAAACCAGGAAATGCAATGAGGTTAAGGACTGAACGTCCACGTAGTAGTCTTTCATTCAAATCATTTCAGTTCTTCAGTGTATTTATGAAAAACTCTAACCAGAACTGCACATACTATAACTTCCTCGGAAAGAAGTTGGATGTTACATTGGCGACAGCGGTAGAAAACCCTGATCTAAGCAAACAATCAAGATATCAATGGCTAGCCGTCACTGATGGAAAACATCAACTGCAAATGGCAGAAACTTCGAGTCTACTTTTGATAATCATTCAAATCTTGCGTGCTGATATAAGGCAATCAACAACTAAAGCAACTTCAGACGTAAACACTATGAAAACGTACATTATGAGGCCTCTAGAGTACTTATTAGAAGATATTTTAATTACGCGAAGGAGTGATATCATCACACGCCTAGTAAGTGAATGGAGCATAGATGTACGACTTAGCAGCACTGAAATGAGGGCAAAGTTGTAGGGAGAAGCGGACTCCTAGAGACTAGTACACAAATTGTACTTGCTGCGGATCATCGACTTGCCTTGAACAATTTCAAACTAGTGAATCCCCACAACATAGTTCAAAAAGAGAACGAAACTGTTGAAGTATACGAATCTACAAAGTGCATCACCGACGCTTGGATCTATGCGGGACCTTCCTTTCTGGCTCGCTATGGTTTTCAAACTACTGACTACCTTGTGCCAGACTACGCAGAAGAGTGACCATGGAGAACGCCTAGGCCAGTGCTTATAAAAACGAGGGAAAATTTGAAGGCGCAAATAAATCGAATGATTCAATACCAACCTTGGCTCGTGTCTTGAGTTTCTCAAAAGCGAGCGTCTGCTTTGGTGTTGAGGGCTTGACTTGGAGTTTTGTGGCACAGTCAATAAGACACGTAGCCATGTTCCCATCGAGGAGTAATGCAGGCGTGTTGCAGATAACCTGAAGCAGTTCCTCCTGTGTGATATCGGAGAGGGCTAAAGGACGGAAAGACGGAAGTCATATAATTTATAAATGAAGCCGCGATGAGACTGAGGACCTAGTGAGTCTCACCAGCAGACGCGAGTTGCGGCAAGCCACTGACGAGGAAAGCCGATCGCAGTTCTGGAGATAAAGAGAACTTGTTGGACGCACTGAGACTGACAAGGCCGCACTTCGTATGCATGACATCGGTGGAAGAGGATGTGAGAGGAACAATACTTGGCAGACTGTATACCCCATTAGCGTCACAAGTGAACCATGTGTTAAGAAGATGGTCCCACCAAGAGCCACTACTGCAACTACTGGCTGCGACAAAACGTCGAGGAATTCGAGAAAGTAGGACTAGGTGTGACTCAATTATCTCCAGCTCCATTGGACACTGTCTTGTCGGCGACCAAGTGACAAATACACTCTAAAAAGAATAAATTCGTTTCAAGGTTATGCTGGGGTGAAATATCGATTACGAACAACTTTTAGAATATGCTACTGATACCAATACCGGGGCGATCTTCCCCTTACAGCACACTTTACCAGTTCCTTCATAGCTTTTAATGATCAAAAAGTAACGAGACTGTAAAAACCCATTGAAAGAACATAAACAAGTCCGTACGTTTTTCTCGTTGACGGGAATCACACTGGCCGAGGTGCAGTAGTAGTCGACATCGAGAGCCATGATGCGGCAAATGTTTTCCAAGAAGATGAAACCTGCAGTCTGCCGAAACTCCTCCGTGCGTTCTTCCATGTCTGACTGGGAGCAGCCCTCCACTAGGGGTGGGTTTGGTGCAGGGATATTCAGCAACTCTGTCGATTCAAGAAGACTCCGAACCAGTGTCTTCCGATTTAAAAGAAGTTGGCTTAGACAATTTATTGTTGGGCGCCATGCCTGGAGTGGGGAGAGAGTCAATCGAGTAATTTAACAAAATAAGATTATTTTAATTAAATACTGAAATAAGCAAGCAATTTTAGGGCTCTTGTGGTCTGGATTTCGCTTATGCTACGAATCGTCCGGTCATTCTACAGGGTGGTGATAATAATGGCCACTTTAAACTCGTACGTTTTCCAATTTCCTCAGAGACCATTCTGGCGCAACAGGTATAGCAAAGTTGCTAAAGAGCAATGCTGATGTAGACGATTAAACACTGGCCGCAGTGCCACAAGAAGAAGGTATCTATTGTAAGTGTCTGAATCTGTGAGAGGATACAACGGAATGGCTAGCGAAACCGCGTCGAATTTCGGTAATCACGCAAGCAAGAACCACAAATAAGACTCCTTAAGAAACTGATATGAACATGAAGATTTTTTATTATGATACGAGGACATCATACACCTACACAATGTTGTTTTTTATATATTACTCTACGAAAATCTATTCGTATTTAAAATGTGCTCTTTCAGTCCTTAGCGCAATATATCAACTGAATTTCCTTCCCAAAGCAGCTCATTTAACCGCGAACACCAACATGAAAGCAAGAGGGGTCATTTTCACCGCGATCGGGAAAGGTGCTGGAAACCACATTTAACACGACACGTTTGGAGACTACGAAGTCCTCTGTGGAACTATCATTTGGCTTACACGTCTTGTAAATCGCAAAATAAGATTCCCGGCTATTATGCTATCTACGTTTCACAGTGTGAAATAAAGTGGGAAAGCTATTTTCACAACTGCAAAGGGTGATTCATCACCGACAGAATGGTACTGATTGGGAAAAAAACACAGCTTTAATGGTAAAAAGTAACCCACCACAAAAGAGGCGATCTCCGTGAGCTGTCCGAGGAAGAGGACGTAGGCCATTAGAGGAGTAGTGTCATCTTCAACAAGAATGGCGCCTAAAATGAGGCCAAGGAAGTCCATCCCTCTAGTGGTGGCAGCGGTGGTGGTACCGGCCTCAAGAGACTCGATGTGCTGCTGTTGTTGTTGCTGCTGTCTGTCAACTGCTACAGAGAGACCCGGAAGATTGATCAGCGATTGTAGTACAATGAGTAGCTCCTCCATAGGCTGGATTAATGGTCCTGAAGTAGGCTGGACTATACTAGCCGTTGTGACGTCCTCTACTGCCAGTAGGGTAAGGCACTAAAGAAAGATAGTTGTGAAGAGTTACCCTAGTAATTACAACATCTGTTTCAAGGACTCAGTTAAAAAACAGGTTCTCCAGCCTCTACCTCGGATTCACGATGTCCGGTTATTTTTCCATACCCTCCCAGCTTCCGCCTAGGTGGTTTTTCAGAGATAAATGAGGATTATTTTAAAAGTCTTACATAACGAGCGGCACGTCGAATGAGAGAGGATGGATCCCTAAGCCGATTGGCGAAGGATTGCAACACCGCTTCAGCGATATTATCAACAAGATTTTGAGAAGCGCGGTCTGGACCGAGTTGTCCTGTCGCCGATGTGGTGACATCCATAGGTGGACTTCGAGATTGCAGTCTCAGACGCTCCAAGATGCGGTTGTAGAGGCGTCGCCGATTCAGCTCTGCCTGTCCTGCCCCTACATTAGATACGGGCAATTTTTCGGAGGCGTGGACACTGCCTGCTGTGCTGTCCGGCCGAACACGTCGAGATGTTAAAGGACCTGAAACGGAAGATGTAACGCTTGTGTGGGTTGAAATGTTTGAGGTTCACTTAATTACAGGGTAGAGAGGGAAAGAAGCCTGCAATTCAGCAGCCCAGATCAATCAGTGTAGACCAACCTACCTTTAGGATATAAATAATTAATTTGGTTAGTGTTTATGAAAGAGCGTAACGAACAGGGAAAAAACGCTGCACCAATGGTAAAAAACAACTCACGACAAAAGAGATGATTTCCATGGGCTGGCCAGGGAAAAAGTTTGGGTAATGAGAGGAAAGCGTACAGGGTTGGTTCAACCGAATGAAATGACAAAGCAAGGAGGGAACTTGTGACTTACGGTAGTAATTTGCTAAGAGTTCATTGAACATTTCTACTTTACCGCTAAGATGGCGGCAAAACTTTTCATATTAAGCTACTGCTGAGAAGTACACAAGGTCAAACTGAGGTACCCCTTTAGTATTCCCTTTCGCTTACCAAATAGAGGAGTGACCTGCAACTGAACACATCGTTCACTAATAAGGCTTATTTGTTAGTCACTTACTACCTAAAAACAAACAGCTTAACTAGCAGGATTGAGTGACAATTCGCAACAATGACCCCTCTCCATGGTTTACCTTCAGTGCCTAGTTTTTCTAAATCCACATTAGCTTCAACGTTAGCATCCATCGAAGAGGTGCTCTGGTCCCTAAGGCGTCGAGAGGTCGGCGGTGCTGGAACCTCTAGAGTCACTCCATTCATGAAGGCTTTCTCGTCAGCCGCCTGGATACGCTGAAGACTTGAGTGAAGGAGGTATTCTGCTAGACATTGCAAAGGCAGCACATCAATACTCTGCCACATCGACTCAACCAATTGAATAACCCAAGGTTGTGGCAAGTCTGGAGCTAAAAGAAAAATGAAATGTAAGTGCAATTATCGTGTAACAGAACGGTATTTGACTTAGCTGTTCCTTTAGCTTAGCAAAAAATTCAGGCACTAAAGGTTCTCTTGCCTTTTGTTCATGCTTCTGCACTCCTGTAGGCTAATAAACCTTCCATACTGGTAGGCTTTACTATGAATTCAGTGATGACTCAGAGCGTCACGTTGATGACGGCGGTAAAAAAGATTAAATCCAAATAACAGATTTTCAAATTTTAATAATAGCCACAAAATCTAAAAGCTACAGACGAAAAAAAGCTTCCACAACTAGATGAATCTGCCTGAGACAGTAATGGGTACCTTGCGTGATAATCAACTCCAACAGCAGATCTGGCTGCCTGCAAGAACAGAGACGTCGACGCAGACCGAGTTGTTCAGAGAGACGCTTCAGAGCCGCCAATTCCGCAACTGGTGGGCAGCGACAAACCCCCCTAGGGTTATTTTGGACCAGCTGACCAATCAGCTGCGACTCCACTGATGTGACCACGGGTAACGAGCTCTCCACAGAGTCAAGCTCCATTGCCTCCAGTTTCACGGTCTTCCTCTTTTCCTCGTCGGTATCCTTTTTCGTCTCCTCGTCAGAAGATGCTTGCTGTGGTACAGTTGAAACTGAAGGCAGGGGTCGGGCCAGATAGGCCTCCAGCCGTAAAATCATTTGGTCTTCAAGTTCCTTATTCTACAGGCATAGACAGAAATGAGTAGTAAAGGATGGGACCTATACTAAAAATTTGGAAACGTGGACTCACAAGACGTTCAGACTCCACTGAGGTCGCATCACTTGAAGCATTCAAGGGAGGATATGTGAAATCACTAAGGTGGTAAAAAATGTTTCAAGACGGCTTACTTCGTAATGACCATTTCCATTAATTTTCGAACGGTTGGATAATTCGTCCACAGATACGCTCCTGCAATGAGCAAAAAGCAATGACATTCAGCTTAGCTGATCATCGGCTAATAATTTACATAACAAAGTCCTGATAGAGATGCATTAAATTTGGATAAGAAAACCCACCACAGATTTTTGGAGAATGAGTACCTAGAGCGACCAATGCCATGGAAACCTTCCAATACGGCTCCTTGTAGGCCATTTCCGGTATCTCGCTACAAAGTGACAATGATGGTGACTAAAGCAAGCATATTTACTTTGGCAATTCACAATCCGCGCAAAATGAGCAGCAAGCGTAAAGCAGGTCGATCAGCTCTTCCAGTTTGCTGAAATTTGATGACTCCGAACCTGCAGAGAGGGAGCGGCAATAAAGTTAACCCAAAAGCACACTAAATGATGGGAGAGGAATTAGGAGTCCCTCGGGGATTGCGTTATACATGGTTTAAATCAAATGAACTATTCTGAAATGAAACAGAGCGTTACCGTTGTCGATAGAAAGGGCGGTTGAACGCCAGATGAGTTCGCAGACGATGGCAGCTGCATCAGGCGGACTAACCAGTCCCCACTGCGATTCTAAACCATGCCGAAGCACATGGATAGCCAGTTTTTCGGGTAGATTAACGTAAGTCAGGTGACACACAAAGGGCCTAAAACAGGAATTTTGATATTATGTAAAACACATTTTCAACAAAATGGAAGGCTCAACTCCCTGTCACTTCGGCTACCACGTCAATAGTCTCCCAACTCTTCCCCATTCAGGTTTGTAGAAGCCATAACGACCCCAAGAATAATTACTCTGATGACCTCAACAACGAATTACCTCAAAGAGCCAACTTGAGCACAATGCCAAAACTTTGAAAACGGAAGGCACCCAATAAGGACGGCTACAATTTCCGTAAGATAACAGCAGGAGAACCATCAAACTCATGCCGACTTTTGACAACTACCCTGAAAGCTAGGCTTTGCAAAATGGAGCTCTGAGCTAGTCGAGATTATCCATAAGGAGACCATTTGCAATGATGATAAGAACACAGTTACCTGTAATCAGGACATGGAAACACAATACATTCCAAGTTACTTTTAGACAGATCCGTTTGCTGTAGGATATCGCCCAATTTTCAGCACTATCACCGAAAGGAATCCTTCTCCTCAGTGCAGCCTATCCATCAGGAGACGCGATACCAACAAATCCAATCCAGTTCAGTTCCAGGGCATGCACTACTACTAAGTCTAGATCACTCGTCTCGTGTGATTCTACCTCAAATGAAGACTCGCTAAACTTGCGACTGAAGAGGATGACACTGGGGAAGCTCCAGATGACGCTAAATGTGAAGAAGTGGACAATTTCAACAAGAAGATCCTGAACCCCTTCCTGAGTCCCCCAGCTCCTTTCGGAATGCTTAATAACAAATCTACTTATGGACATCTTCGGAGGCCACTCACCGCTGATTCTGTTCCAAAGGCCAGAGCTCCTCCGCGGCATAGAAGGGTGAGAAGGCAGAATCGGTAGCGGTGGGGGGGATATCGAAAGGCGCCGTAACTTCGAGGAAGAAGGCGCGACGCAAGAGGAGAGAAATTTGCGCGAAGGCATCGCGCGGTGCTACGGCGGGGAAATGTCCCGCAGCCGCGGAGATGAGATTTGGCACGAAGGACTTGAACCACCGAAGAAAGTAGAGACGCAACTGGCGCACACACGCTTGGTGCTGCTTCACTGGGTCTGGGGCACCCGTAACTGTCAGAAAAATGAAAGGAATACCTTCAATGTGGCAACGATACTCTTTACTACGATAGTATGGAATTTGAGATGGTTGCTTAATGTAGTTTTCCATAAAGTGGTCATGCACAAATTCACGCCTTCAACGGCTAAACCTGGTGTTTGGGCACACAAACCTTCTTATTCCCCCGCAACTCGACTCCCACACCGGTAGTATCGAGAATCTACTCATAATACCTAGTCTACTAGCTCCCCAAACCTTATGCACATCCACGATAAACCCACTTTCAGAATGTGACGACGTATAACGTTTTCAAGGATAGCTTTGATAAAGTTTTGACTCTCCTAGTCAGTATTCCCTCACCCTTCTTCCGAACAGCAGGCGCATCACAGAGGCTAGGTCGAGTGGCCGAAAGCATCTGCAGCTGACAGATGACATGCACCACTGCATAGATGTAGCGCAGTATTGTGAAGGGTCCAAAGCTTTGTCCACCACCAGCTTGCCAAAGGCGTTGCGCCACTGTTACCGCTGACTCCGCAAAAACCGGGTGGACGGATCGATCAAGAAGAAGAATGCCGCAGCCCATTTCCGCACAGGGAAGAAATTCCCCACTCCCACCCCCGCCTCCACCGCCGACGGATGAGGTGGGTGTTGCCACCGGCACAAAAGCTCCCCGCATCCACTTGGCCAGGTCACGCAGCAGCTGCCGCGTGGGAGCGAGGATATGAAGAGTGTGAGTGACCAGTTCAATGTCCGTGGGATGGGCAGTAAGACTGCCGAATTGGGGTGATGTGGAGTTGGAATTGGTGATGGCTTCGACTATTCGGTCATGGAGGACCTCCGCTACCACCTACAACCCAGGCAAGTAGATAAAAATTCAAGCAAATGTGACATGGTAATATTTAAATTTCTCTCCAACCTTGATCCATTCACTGGAGAACCTTTGGTAAAGCTTTGGGAAAATAAAGGAGACAGAGGTGTGGCCCTTGGCGACAGCCTCGGCTGCGTTGACTGCAATCGTGTTGATACTTGATGTTACCGAGTCGGAGTGAGATGGCACTTCATCACTTTCTGTTGAAACAATGAGAAACGGATTATTCCCACTTGTAAATCTCTTACTATCTTTAGCAATAGTCAAACTTTTGTAATATAGTAAATGGGGTGGTTCAATAAAACGAATCCATCATTTCCTCTGCTTTCAGTTGAATATCCATTATTTATCAAGATCTGGCAGGATTCGCTGATTAGTTAGTTCCAAGATGCTTAATCACTTTTATCATGAAGAAAAATTGCGCCTACACACTTAAGTCACTTGTTACATGCTCCACTTAAGTCATTACCACGGCAACATCTGGCCTTTAGCTGTGAGTTCCCATCAAATCATCATGTTTATGGCTATAGCTAGAAGTATGAAGTGCTCTTCTTTCAGTACAACATTGACAATCTCGGGATTTTTCAAACTACTCAAACAGATGGGCCTAACTCCGATGGAAATGACTTTGAGCTTCTGACCTCTATGGTTAAACACTCGTCTGATACACACTTAATTGAACTTAAGGCTATCATGAAAAAGGCAATAGACAGGTCTAACTTAGAACTTTTCACTAGTATTCTCCGGTTTTCGATAATCGGCCAGAGTATTCTTCGTCCATTTCTCGTGGCCGTGGCTGCGCATTTCCAATGCCTGTGCGAAATATTTCACAGCCATATGGAACATGCATGTAAAATTGAATTATTAACCCCGAAACACTACGAACGCGAAAAATGTTGCTCTTCTGGCGTTAATCGCGACTAGGTTTCATATTTTTCGTTACTCCGATATTTCAAGTGTCTTGTTAGGCCGCAAAGCTATCCAGCTTGCCAGATCGAAGTGGTAAAATGTTACGATCAAGTAATGTTCTTTGAAGGTCATATCACCGACGCTTTCAGACTTTCAGTAATTTGTACCATCCAAGGCTACTAAATTGTTAGGAAAGAAAAATTCCACATCTACTTATACTCACCCGACTGAGAGCACAATTTTCGAATAGTCTCAACCAAACATTTGGCTGCGGGCGAATTAATGGATGCGAGAGTGCTTGAGGCATGTGGCCCCATGCTCGGTAATTGGGATTGCTGCTGTTTCGCTGCCTGTTTAGCGGCCTGTTCATTTGCCTCACAAATCGCTGCGATTGTCGGCAGCTCACTGGCCATGCATAATTTGACCAGGATTGCCAGGTTGGTAGGGCCAGCAGCAGCCAGTCGACAAATGTTCTCCAGCACGGCCGCCTAAATGGGATGCAGAATGGTGCTTAGGATGTTTACTGAAGTGGCGTGAGTAGAGGAAGAATTACCTGGATGTTGGCTTTAAGCAGCTTTTGTCGAATGCGGAAGATGACAGTGATTATGGTATCGATGTCGGATGGAGAAGTGGAGCCCTGCTTGCAATTGCCCACCACTATAGCTAACAAACCGACTGCTAAGGTTTGAAGTTTGGGGTTCTAAAAGGGAAACACATTGGCAACGGATAAATTGGGCATTGTATTGAAGAGTGAACTATCGCTAGAGACAAGAAGGCAAAGGGGCCTCATTTCTCCAGATTCATGGCCTGTGATTTGTAATTGGAAAGGAATCACTCGAGCCACAAACTACCATTACGAAGTGACAGACCACTAGCTACTTAATCAATGCTAGTTTCGAGACAACTATGGCACTGTATTGTGAACTAGAGGAAGCAACAGCAGGCACAATTACCATTCTAATAATATTCGACAATTTAGAATAAATCACCACAGCACTAGCCAACCAAGCAAATGTTTAAAGAAACATGAGCAATCGACCAAATAAAAGGAGCTTTAATAATCCATCTTTGCACCTATGCGTAGTACGAGTCGCTGGCTCATTCGCCTCAACAATCGGAGGCAACCAATGTTATTTATATTCAGAAAAGTCAAAAGTCATTGTTCATTTCGACATCACGACTCCTTGGATGTCGACCGCAACCAACTGGAAACAGCCACAGAGGTGGATCGGATTGACATAAACAAACCGATACTGTTGGAAGACGTCAGGATTATATGCATTCTATAGGCTTCATCACTATCGACTGACAATCAAATTAACCTTCAGTGTTCTGACATCCTGATCTTGAATACTCCCACGGCTTCTCGATAGAACCTTAGCTCAGCTATTATCAAATCCTTGCAAAGCGTTAAACTGGCCATATCAGCAAAGAAGATATTTAAAAACAAAAAACACCCTTTACCTGTCTTACTCTCTCAACTCGTCGACCATTAGCTTTGTATTAAGGGTCTCTGTTAGCAGTTTTCGCATAATCTTAAAAAAAGCCACTATGAGCTTTAACTTAGTGGATATAAAAATGAGAAATTGCTTCCAGTCTTTCTAACAGTCAGTAGCACAAGTCCCATATCAACTGTTTCCGCCATTTCAGCCCGTTTGCTACCAGAGTCGCCGATAAAAATCGGCCACCACAGCCGTTCAAAAAAACAACCTTAAATAAAGAAACTTACATCTACCCTTTTTAAACATAACCAATCTGCCCACGGCACGATTTGGTACAATCAGTTGCCACAAATAGATAGATAGGGAGCACATGTCGCACATTTGTGACACGAAGGCCCAAATAAGATCAGTATGTCAGTGTATATGATGCTGGCAACGAGTATGTTGGGTGCGATGAAAGGATAGAAAGGCGCTCTTAAATTCACTCACCGTGAGCCATGGTTCGAGTCGCTGAGCAGCAAGTGAGCGGATTTCCGGGATACCAGCAGCCATAGCGAGGGTCCGAATGAGGCAGCGAGTGTGCACTACTTCACCACTGGGTCCAGAGGGATCAGCAGAGGAGGCAAGGGAGTGGCCCAAGCCTGTAGAGCTCGAGCTGCGACGTGAAAGGGCTTCTCGCAGGGTGGTGACAATAATACCCTCCACTGCACTGCGACCCGACTCGAAGCGTGGCGAGACTAGGCGTGCTGGGTCGCCGCCATGGATAACCTGAAAAAGCAGATCAAGATGGCTAATGGTGCTATGGCCATACACCCCTTACCTCTAATCTTGTTGCTTGAGAAATGTACAGCCAACTTCTAGTGGATAATTAGTTCTAAGCGGGAACTGATCCATCTGTTTGCAGACTAGCGCATCTCATTCTTTCAGAGACAGTATAAATAATACAATATTAGTGGTATTAGCAAACTAATGCAAAATTCCAACACATCTGTAAAACCGTCACAGAAGAAAGACATCGACATGGCTGACTTCCTAATAATGAATTATGCGGAAGTTACCTTGGCAGACTGCGAGGTTCGCGTGGCGTGTAGTGCCGTAGCCACCGCCTCAGCTAAATCAAGAGATGCGGCGGGAGTAAGAAGTGGAGCGGTGGTGGCGGTAGCTGAGGGCAGATTAAGACCAAGAACTGCCTGCACCCCTGGTACAGGAGGTCCACTGGCGCAGAGGAGAGTGAAGAGGCCCCGCGGATCGCCTGTCACTGGAGGCAGAGCGGTCTCGAGGTTGAGCACGAAGGCCTTACACTCGTCGAGATCCACCCAAAGACGGTCGGAGAGGCTATCCTCCAGATAGATCTGAGTGAAAGGCGATCAGGTACCGACATAATGAATTATTTAGAGTAGTATGCTTATTGTGATATTTATGCTGCCAGTAATGGTCCCTTATTTGGATCACTTTTTACGAAAACTAGCGGCAATTTCCAACATTATCTCAAAACAGTGGCCAATTTGCTGACCGTAAATTTTGACAGAAAAAGTGACTTATAAAACAAGGCCTAAGAAGTATACCACTGTGAGTTTATTTTCCCGTCGTATTTATGTCGAAAACAAATCACTTAACGTGTTGTTTGTCAGTTCTCAGTAACACGATAATAGACGGAAATGTGCAACAAGCAAAATGAAGCAACTTTACGGGTGAGACCCTCAATGGTGCAGCGAATTAAACCAATTTGGGTAAAAGCCAAAATCATCCGACCTCTCCGAAAGCTGACGGTTCATTTATTAAACCGATTCGATAGAAAATTATGAAACAATATTCCGATGCGATGAACTTAAGAATGACTCAACATTATATTTGGTATATTTGACCACCTCGGCATTACTCGAATACCCCATGGGAACATCTGAATAAATAAATCTAAACAGCACCGAGAGACATTTTGCAGTCACGATTAGCGACCACAAGGTGAAGTGATGAGCATAATTGATGTATAAACATCTGAACATGAGACCGTGTTCCAGTATCATACAAATAACCGCGGTTCAAGAATAAATTGACTTAACACAGTCCATTTTACAAGTCAAATACATTTTTAGGGAAACACCACTTTCGGGACATCGCATAAAGAACTCTAAAAGAGACTAAAAGCACTAAAAGGTGTCTTTGTACTATGGTAATTTACTAAAAGTTAAAATTTATGAAAACAAACGACGGTAGCCTTTCATACTTACACAACTCTAGCAAACAGTTACTGATGACTCCAGACCAGAGTGGAACACATGAGAAGGGCAGAAGCGAAATGCCACACAAAAGAAAATTGTCGACAAACTCTATTTATTTGTCAAGCTACCTTCAGATCAAACTCACCGAGAAATGTCCCGTTTCACCATCCAAGCACGCGTAAGGGGCGTAAAAGGCTTAAATAAAAACCAATCTATGGCCGGCCGATGATTAAAAGGGGAGATTTGTTTCAAATATAAGACAAATGGAGAAAGTGAGAAATTTTACGTTGATTTTTGACTGGTTTTGAAGTATCCCACATCTCCAACATCAATTACTCACAACTACTGAGCTGGGCCGAAATCGGAAACTGGTATCATCCAGCAAAACTTTTGTATAGAATATTCACCACTTCAACATGGGTCTTACCGGGCAAGACTAAATATTACAAAACCTTACACAAAGGAATTTTAATGACCAGGTCGAATGAATATCAACAAATGGTATCAGTGAAATGGATGATCTGATATAGTATACCGAAAAGATTATTTTATGTATATGACATGTAAGAAAATGTGTTTCCAGTAGTTCTGACCATGATGATACGCTCAGACACCATGCAGAGTTAAGAGTGATAACGAGTTAAATGAGAAAGAACATACCTTAACCAACCTTGGTGGCCACTTTGACTGATTACCGAGGGCAATCAACAACAAGTTCGCCACAAACGCCTATAAAAAGAAGAAAACCTCAGCACTACAAACTGCACGCCAACGTAACGATAAAAAACTAGGCTTACATAAAGCCCACGTGACCTCGCAGCAAAGTTCGCCATCGCCGAGGTAGGCAGTCGAGGCATGCCAAAATCGCGGGGTGAGAGGGCAAGGAGGGAATAGAGCAGTTCCAGCACCGCAGGTCGGGCAAAGAGACTAGGTCCACTAGCGTGCTTAGCGATGACCAATAGACCAACGGTGTAGGCAGGGGGCAGTCGGGAGGATGCTAGACCGGCGGATCGTGTGAGGGCCAGGCTGCCAAATGAGGCGAGGGAGGCGGTAGAGGTGGCGTTGGCATAGATATGATTCAACACAGAAATTATGAGAGCCTCTGCTTCAACCAGGTTGCCACTGGCCAACAGGGTTTCCACACGACTCACTAGCTCCGTAGATGCCACTGAAAGAGCAGGGGAAATCAGTAACATCCGATTAATATCACTTTCATATATGAAAATAATATATGCGTACCATCTTGTGATTCAAGGCGAGGTTTTTTAACAGCCGGCCCGATGCGTTGAACATCGGATGGTCGTTTCTGTTTAGCTCCAATGAGTGAAAAAAATCCGCTAGCGGGTGGTTGATCTGAAATCCGAAAAAATTCTGTGCTTGAATGCAAAAGCTTTTGGAAACTAAAAATTTGTGGAGTAGTAACTTGATTGCAGTGCAGAAACTTGAGTTAAAAAAATCAAACCACACATGGCAAAACTAGAATGCTGCATTGTGTAGACCTCTATAGAAGATGCAAAAAGGCGCGAAATCAATGGGGTGAAATATGGGATTTAGATCAATAGGAAGCAGTAAGACCAACTGCACAGAAAAGTTAATAGTCAAATGCTATAGCATATAATGTACGCGAACTTAACGATTAAGCAGCAGTTAAGCCAAAATAGTGAAAACACTAGCACCTACTCTTTCTGGAGCCCCTCATAGTAGGCTTGTGTAACCAAGTATTAACCAATCAGAAACAAGAAAACGTATAATCCTCACTATTTCGTGTAACCCAAAAGGATTTGGATTCTATATAAGTCAATCACATGAAGTTATCTACTTTAGACTAGAAAGCCTCAATGACAAAAATAATGTTATACGGGGACGGGAAAGTGCGTGAAGGGAAGACAGTGTAATCAATAATTGATCGTACATGTTTCATTTACGTTGATACAGATCCATGATGTAGTGATTAGTGTACCGCCTTATAACTCTCTCGTAATAAACACACTTATAAAATGATCCGGAGACCAGGGCGCCTAGAATGGGGACAATGGCGAGGGCCTTGAATAGGCTAATAACAAAACCGAAAGTTAAATAAATATCCAAATCATCAAACGGCCTCTCGCCCTTTAAAAGGTTCTTTATTATTCTTTTGTAAATTTTCTCGAACACGCTATCATAGTATAATCAGTGCTGTATGGAATGTATTTACAAACCATCAGCACAGGTTATCGAATTTGCATACAACTGAGAACATACTTAACCACAACGGGAGAATGTGCTGGCCATCACGAGTGTTAACCACCAGTTGTAGAATCATATAACAGAGGACAATATTTGTCACCGTTTCCTTACTACCTTGTTTTTACTCTATTATCGCCTTGCCCTATCTATCAAGTTGTTGGAGGTATCGCTTGTTCACATAAATTATATCTGCATTAGGATCCAGTGAACAGCGTCGTAACAAAATCGTTAGAATGGTTGAGTTAATTGTTAATTGCTTCCCCTCAGAACATAGATTTAAGGTGGTTGATAAATGTGAACGTCACTTTTTGCCTTTCTGTTGAGAGTGGTCACAGATTCCTTCGTTCACAGCAAAGGCACTCCTTCCTCTCCATAAAGGTATATCGCCAAGCAGTAAAAATCTGCACAGTCATTTCCTAGGATCAGGTCTGCTTTACGCTTTCATCGATGTGGCGTCCGGAGACAAAAAATACACAGTACTCAAGTAGAATAAACCCTGTTGGTGTACGTAAGTGCTTGGAGACTACCGGCATCGTGTGAAGGATAAGTCGTTTGGTAAAAATCCAAAAGCAGAGCCCCTATTTAGCCCATTGCGAAAACCGAAGGTTAAACAAACTATCAATATACCACATCACCAGCTCCTTTGTCGCGTCCAGCATCTTCTTTGGTGATTCCTCTAGTTCCTTTTCCTTCATCCGCCATTTGTGATGGAATTCTCTCTTCAGTTAGCATTTGGACCACATTTTTGTATCTAACCGAAGTTTACCTCTATTAGTGCGCGTTTTGTTTACAATAGATCGTGGCTGGATGCACACGCGTGTGTATTTCAGATGAGATGATAAGATGGTGAGTTCACCTTAACCACTTGCAATCCATCTTTGCTAAAAAGCCAGTACAACTGGTAGTACATTCCGATGGGTGTTGCGGGCTTATGTGCTTAGGCTATGTCTTCGAAGATGGACTGGCAGTAAGTGTAATAGGATGTCTTTTGCTTGGTATGCGCTAAGCATGGGCAAACATCTCCCTTGCCTATCCTCTTGATTGCGGTACGGACTTTGCGGCCCCGCGGATTGATACTTTAGCACCCCGTTAGAAACATCTGCTTATACTCCCGTTTGGTGGTATTAGAGCAAAGAAATTTTGCAATCCCTTTATGTTACTTGCAATACGTTGTTTGTTTAAGTGTGGATTTTGGTAAAGGAACACTTTGTCGTGGCCATTGTGTGCCGCCAGGTGGGCAGACCTCCGCGCCGTACCAGTACACCTAATACCTGCTCTGTGCCAAGTATACACATGCCGTCCCAGTATTATGTCCTCATTCGTCCTCAAGGAATTCTCGGGCCACTACATTAGCGATAGCAGAGAGCGAACCCAATCTTGAAGAATACGTAACCTGATTTTTTCTGCTGGGTGCATATGTGACGGATGGGGGAATCAGCCATACCCCCAAACAAAAGGGGTGAAATTTGCGTTCACTTTTTGCAACTACCCTATTTCGGTGTTCGGTACGAAAGCTACTAATAACTGAAGCGACAATGGCCGTGAACCATCTGGAATAGTTTTGTTTCGGAGTGAACTGGCAATACCTCTCCACTTCCCTGCCAACTAACTTTTAGCCCAAATAGATAATGCCGGGCAGCGTCGAGGTGAGAACAACTTGGCAAGGAGGAACAATCGCGAAACCCTATCCGAGAGCTGCGTTGAAATCCGTACTTCCTTACATAAATCTGCTTTTGGTTCATTGTTCCTACTTCTAGATATGGATATGTGTAATAGTGGGTACAAATTCTCGTCTTTAAATCAATTACCTGGACAGGACGAAAATCTAGTTCCAGTAGATCTGCAAAGAGGGATCAGTGGTGCTGCAGCCAAGTATCTTCTCAGTCGCATAAAGAATTGATGACTGTACCCCGTCCACTCGTGGGTATCCCCTTTGTGATAGCTGAAGTTGGAGGATGACCAAGGGATGTGTAGGGGAAGAAGCTCAAAAGAGGAGAGGTGCTACTGTAATGCTTTGGTTGTTTAACTGTTGGTTTAAGTAAAGTACCACTTTTGTGGCTTGGCTACCGTGCCTTCACCGGAGGGGGGGGGGGGGGGTGTGGCTCTCGGGCCACACCAATAGCTCTAATGCCTACTATATGTAGGATACACATACATATATATCTTGTGCAAGTGGTGAGGCGACATTTTTGGACTCTTGAATTTGCCTTCTTGTACCACGGTGGGTGGGCTGGACTTCGGACCATGCCAGCTGCCCAAACGCCTTCTCTGTGCTAAATATACATATCCTGCCCCAGTGTTGTGTCCCCTTTTGTCTTCAGGGAAGTCTCGGGAAGCTACAACTAGCTCGGTTATGACTTTATACAAGTGCTTCTTAAAAAAGTAATTTAATATTTTTGCAAAAAGTGCCTTATTTTGTTCTCGAAACTCACTGAGCTAGTTTATTACTCACCCTTCGCTTCACTGTTATTTTCACTTACATTACAGTTCCTGCATCTATCGATATGTTTTTGCACACTTAGGCCTTTACTTTTAATAATTAAAACATTGTCCTTGATCACGTAAACAAAACTTACGGCTTACTGGAGGGCTTTTCGGAAATACCGTCACATGACAGAATGGGTACATATTGGAATTCTAAAGATTCTCATACTCAGAGGTAGGTTCTTAATCAAGCAATTTATGTCTAAGCGCTAACGAACAATCAATTGAGATGAAGCTTACCGTCGATGACTTAATGGCACTAAAAGAAGCCTTTTCAGTAGGAAAATACTGTAATTTTTCATGATACAAAGGTGCCTGGAAAGGGCTATAATGGTCTTTTGGCACTGAACAAGGAGCAATTTATTGAGGCACTCACAATAATCCTAAATCGTGGCTCGCGACAAGAGGTTAGACCATTTGTGCTTAAGCATGCTCTAGTATGATGAATTATTTGACAAAATTGATGTATCAGCGGAGGGTGTTGTTGATTGGGACAAAATAGCAGCACACTTTATAGTTGACTGCCATGAAAGGGATGAAAGGAGCAACTCCATATCAATACCACAGTGGAAGGAACTAAAAACACTTCATAGTCCGCATAAAGATAACATTCAGAAAATCACTAGGCTGAATAACTTCGAGCGGTATTTAAGTATAAGCAAGGTAATAACCTTGTTTTTTATATGTATTTTCCGTTTAGGAGGGATTGGTTGTTATGTATGGTTTGGATATGCATCCTCAAAAGTCGAACAAAATTTCCACTGATTTATGTAAGCAGCGTGATCTGTGGGTGTCCGATGCTGTTACTATGCCCAATATAAATAAGATGGCTTTTTTACTTTCCAGCAGGGAAATTTGTAAGTTTTCCAAATTGGCGCATAATCGTGTTGCAGTATTCTCAACTCTTAATTTAAAATTGGAGTTGCAAACGACTATAAAACTTGTTGATTTACCGTCGATTCCTGTCTGTGCTGACTACTGGTACAATTCAGAAAATCATAATGAGGCTTTTCTGCTTTGGGGAGATACCGATGGATATGTAACCATTATATTTTGGCGATTCGCTCAAACTATCCTTTTTGAACGTCCTCCCAATCTACCTCAAGATAAGGAAGGTTCGTCTTATCCACTATGTGCTTAGAATATTAAAAGAGGTCCCTATTAAAGTGTGTCATTTTTGACTCCTAGAGTCTACAATTGTTGTTCACTATTTGACTGTTTCAAAGAGCTCAGAAGCTGCGATCATTAGACGGTTTAAGATACACAATGATTGGGTGCGTCAAGGTAAAAAATCTTTGAAGTTATTTCCAGGTTATTATGAATCGCCCTCTTTAATGTTCGTTTTAGCCCATATTTTAATCATTTTTCTGAATTTTTCTTTCTCTAATATAGTGCGATACATCCCACAGCTGGATTGTCTTATAAGCTGTGCAACTCAGTGGAATAGTGCACTAGCCATTTCTTGGTTGGAAAGATTAGCTCCTGGCCCAGATGGAACAATGGAAGAGTGGGTATTGAAAGATTGACATTTGGGCCCTGAATTAACATTCCTGTAAAATATGTGTTCCCTTCTTTAGGAGTTTTGTCCGAACCCTTACCCATGTGTAAGTAATTGTTTGCAGTATCAACCTCACCACCGTGTCCCACTAGGTCTAGATTCTACATCCACCAAGGTATCAATGGATTTGACTACCACAGCGATTTATCTCTAATTGCAACGGCGGGAATAAACTATCATATCAACTTGTGGAATCCTTACGTTACTTCGAAACCCAGCGGGGTAAGACCACCTCACTCTACTTTGACATTGATGGAATTTTTGCCTAAACCGAGGTTTTTCAGCATCCTCTATTGTATACTCCTGTACAAACTTCCGTCCCATCTTAATTGTCAACTTCGGGGGAATGCTACAAGGCAGTAAGGTTCAACTAGAACTTGTGGATGTTAAGACACGAACAAAAAATTTTGCAAAGCGAAATTTGTCCTCTGTAGCCAAATTTTCACTAAACTTTTAGCAGCCTTGGAATGGAATGATTTAGTATGTCTGCTTTATCTTGGCATCGGTCGGAATCCAGGGCACTTTCCTAATACCCGATCTTGAGTAAATATTTTTACCGTTGTCACAGAAAGATTTGACTCTCGTGACGTTTTACGACGTTTGATTATGCGCCTATCTGGTGTCTACAATCAGATACATTGACACGACTGATTTTTATGCTGGCGTGTTAGGAATTGCCATGACCGAGACCCTCGCTTGCAGCAGTTAGCTAGCCATCTTTGAAAAGTTTATGCCCTTTAAATGTTTTACCACTGAATTTCCTACCGTGTTGTGCACGAGGACCTCTGTAGATACGGGTTAGGTTTGTAAAACCTTGTTGACGAGAGTTCTAGACAATCATCACACGCCGTTCCATGTACTTACGTACTACCACCGTTGCCAATTCTCTCATCCTGATGAACGATGGCTCCATTGGCTGGACTTGACATTCGCTACCACGTGATTGCAAAGCTGAGAGTCCCAATTTGACTTACATATTTCTAAAACAAGCTTTTTTAACTAAGGGGTCATAAATTTTTCCTTCCTTACAATTTTTAGTTACTGCGAGGTCATTCAGCTCCTGTTGTGGCTGTTCAATTTCAAACAAAACGACAACGACTTTTAAGTTTTTCTAAGGATAACGTCCTTCGTGTTTGGGACACCCAGCTGCAAGTCTGCATACAAAAGTTGGCGGGAATTTATCCCAAAAGCCTCGATGGTAAATTCGAGCTCTTTTAAGAGATATATATGTGATTGTTTTAGGCGTTCATACTTGTATTTTGAATCGTCAAATCCAGACCCAGTAACAACTGGTGGTCTACTTATTGGAAACTTTGGCATTATAAGTAGTATAAACTTTTTACTTTTGGTATCTAACCGATTTTCCCATCATTTATTCAGATGCAGTCAGTGCACTGCGAACACAGAGTAAGCTTAGTGAAAGCCTATAATTATGATACCAAATGTCCATATCTGACTCCCTTATTTTGCCATCTTAGTCTATTACAAGACTTACTTTCACGAGGAAAAAGGCAGACTATTTATTGCTTACAATGCAACGCTGGGAGTGCTGCAAATGAAGCCAGAAATTACCGACCGTATCTTTACGCATAACGACCCAGTTGTTGGTGTTGTCTACAACCCCATTTATAATCAGGCGAGCATTTATTTTGGTCATCAAATTTACCAACGTGAAGGTGTCGTTAATTTGTAGTGTTTTAGCCGACATAGCATAAGTCGATACAAGAAAATGAAAAAATCAGCTAGTGGTAAATTATGGAATTAAAATGGGTGTTTATTTTAAGTAGTTGGTAAATTTTTGAAGGTAGAGCTAATCTGGGCAGATTCGACTGGTGCTTTCGACAAAAAGTGCTACTGAATCCAATTTAAGTAGGGCCACGTTTCGGGTATCAATATTTAAATGTCAGCATCCTTTTCTGTTACTTCATTTTACCTGTAGTCTTCACTGCTATACTCAATTTTCACTTGCACTTTTACAAAAATAACTGGGAGTAGTTCTCTTAGTAGTATGGCAATAATCTCTCAGTAATTTTACATCTCCTGGACCATATTAGGATTGACATTGAGAGTCAGCTTTTTTCAGATTGTTACGGTTGGTCAAGGAGGTAGAATGTCCTACTGGTTGGTGGAAAGCGGGCAACGCGTTAAAAATCTTAGCCAGTGTCATGGCAACGCTGAAATAACGTGTCTTTCGCAGGATGCAACTTATACCCGACTATACACTGGCAGTACTAACGGCACTGTCAAGGTAAGAGGCTTTTGGATTTTGAGTGTTTTTTTTTCTTTTAACTAAAATATCTTATTGGATCACTACCCTTCAGTCGAGTCAGCTGGTATTCTTTAAAATTGTTTCCTCTTGTATCCATAAAACTTAAACAAAAGCTGGCCTGTCTTTTTGTGCTTGTCTCGCACCGCGACCACCATTGCGGCACCCGAGTTACATATCGGAACATTGTACTACAGACTCGGCAGAAATTTCCTTTATATGCAAAGTAAAAGGGCTTGGAGCTGACCGTAAAGACCTATGTAATTGCACAAGTAGCCACTGTCATTTAAGCTAGAACGGTGGAAACTTTTCTTGCCACTTATTTTACAAAACATCGTTTCGACAGCATTCTTTCTTCAAAAAATTCTATCTTAAACAGGTCTGGGACATGAATGGAAGCTGTCTGCACACACTGGTGTGTCCACATAATACCTTCTTAGACGTCGCCCAAGTGGTGATTCTTAAAAGAGCAGTGATCGTGATGGGCGGTTCGAAGCACTTTATCATCTTCAGATCAACCAATTTTGGTGATCACTACGTCTTCCCCTCAGAGTGGAAGAGCCCTCCTGTGAGTTAAGGAGACAATCACTCTTCCATACCGAAGGCCTGTTATCATGCGTTTTAACTCTTAAAAGCATTGGATGTTTAGCATTCCCCTTCCAAGTTTTATCATATCTAAAGTGAATCTGAAAAAAGTTTCGGTTAAGATAATGACCCTTAGAATCCCCTCTATAGAGTAATATTTCGGAATTCCCGAGTAGTAAAGCATTCTTGATAATAATTTATAATGCAGGTCGCTAAAATGCCCCATTCATTTATTATTTTATACATAAGGAAATAGTTAGTGAGCCAACTCTAAAGCGTAGTTTTGTTTCAACCCACTGTGTCAAACAAAAACAAGCAACGATTTCAGCAGATTTACCATTTACAATTAAACGCTATTCGAGTATATTGAAGCGGATGCCACCAGAGATTCTGTAGGCACCTTTGCCAACTTCCTTATTAGCCTATTTATGAGATTTTCGGAACTACTTCGAAAACCTATATCATGCATCTGCACAATTTTAGCCTGACTCGTCGTGTAGTATCAGCTATTAATATGTGTTAAGTAGGCAGTATGCCGTCAAGATTGTAAACAGGTGGTGGAATTTCCCATTATTAGCAACACAAAGATGATGTTATGGCAGGATGCCCTCTACCTCCGCATAGCCTTATAACAGGCTCCTACGATGGTGAGTTGATTGTCTGGAACACCAATTCCGAACTCTTCTCCCGACGCATGAATCAGCGATGCAGTCCGAACTCAGAGACGGTAAGACAATCTTCATAAGTTTTATTTGTGCGAATATAATCTGCTCTTGAAATAGTATTCAGAGATGTTGTACAACATATCCCGTGTGGTTCTACTGACTGCTCGAACAACAATCAAATCGGGGAGCAGCAAAGGAGCAAACGTTGTATCCTGTGGAGGAAGTGGCTACGTTCGCTTTTGGAATGCCTACGAGTGCATTCTTGTCGGCGAGTTCGCGGCTCATCCCAAAGGTCTGCACTTCGTACTTGCGCAGGGACATTTCCTCATTAAACTATTTTACAAGAACATAGTTTTGTATAAGGAGCTAGTTAAATAATCAAACGCTACTCTGGAATTCCCGCATACTTAAACGTTCGATTAAAAAGAACTTTGTTTGTTTGAGTAGCTCTCCTTCGTCTCACTTTAGTCAGTATCATCAGACCATCCTGTGGTTACTCTTTGGTTCGACCGCCTCCAGGTAGCTAATACAAGAAGTTTCCATTAAGGCGAGACGAATCACGAGTTTAACAAGGGTGTTGCAGTTCATAGGGTTCCATTTTCGTACCATTACTTAGAGCTGGACGATGTCCTACAAGCAGTCAGTTTAATGTGTCAATCATTTATTTTTTAAGACGCATAACTAAGGTCAATACTACTTAAGTTCACGAAACGAAGTGATTTTGAGGAGCTGTGTTGAATTCATCGAAGACTTAAGTGTTTCTGTATTAAAGTGAATGTCATAACAACTTTGCTACTTTAAAATGTTTCAGTAAGCAGTATTGTCATGGCCGTTGACCCATCAAATGGGATGCTAGCGACAGCTGATGTAGAGGGAAATGTGAAGGTGTGGAACATTGCCACGTACTGTCTGGTTGAGGGTGAAGAGAAATGCATGTATGAACCCCGTAAGTTTCCAAAATATTCCGATCTCTTTTTGGTTTTTTAATTTTCACAAATGATTTATAATTTTATTCATGTGCATGAAGGAACGCGAGCTTCGTCATTAATTAAAAAAAAAAAGTTTAAGTTCATTCCTTCTGACGATTGTGTTTGCCAGGTTTTTACTTTGGTTTGTCACTCAGCTACATTAGCCAACCACAAACTCTTCCTTCCTCCTTATTCTTTTACCTTGTTGAGTGTGGCCAAAATTCGTTCACTGAAAAAAAATCGTAGCTTATCCAGCTGTAATGCTTAGAACTAGCGGATAAACATTACTACCGCTTCCTGTGTATTCCACTCTGAACGCAACAGTCGTACTGAAGCTATCGCACACTTGTTTACTAAGTAATGGTCACCAAATAGCTGCTCCGGTGTCCACCTCGAGTTATTTATGTTACCGAATGTTATTGAATGGTAAGAATGATTTATCCATTCCCGTGATATTTTGATTGCCCACTTTTATTATCCAACAGCATTACTTTCAAAGTGGAAAGCTCATCTCGACTTGATCACCGATCTGGTGTTTTGTGTACGACCGGAGAAACGCGCTGTTCTCACCACCGCTAGTTCCGACTGCTCTGTTTGCCTCTGGAGTATTGACGGTCAACGTCTAGGGATCTTTGGTCAGGTGATTTTATCCTTCCTCCTCTCGCGGACACCCCTTTTGGTAGATAACCAAAAAATTTGGTTTGGCCATAGTTTTATAGTCGTTCTTCTTAACCTGGAAGGATTGAATGAGAATAATGATCGAGATTTAGCGGTATTAAACGGTACCTCTAAGAGCTGCCTCCTGGTCACTCTCATTGTTCACTAACACAAGGGCTGCGATTGAATTTACAAAGACCAAAATACCCAATCAGTTGGCTGCCATTGTCACTCGGCCACATCGATCCCTACTTTTATTGTTTTCGCTGATGCTCTTCATGCTCATGCTTCCGGGTTTGGTTAGTGGAGAGGATGCTACTTATTTCTTGCTAGTAGAACATGCTTCTCGTGAGGGGATGTCATTATATGGGCATGATGCATTAGGGAGGAAGTTTATAAGTGAAAGATTGATAATGTAAGGTGGTGTCTAGAACTGATTTTGTTTTAATGCAAATTAATCTTACTCTATTAGAATTGGACACCAGGGTGCTTGCCAATGGATGCTGCCGTTTCGATAGGCTCTTCGTAGTAAAGGTCTGCAAGTTTAGTCATTTACGACAAACATTCCCCTTCTGTGAAGCTCATATACTGGTATCCAAGTAAAAAAATTAGGATTTTTTTTGTTTATGTCGGTCATCTCTTTCATCTGCGTCGCACCTCCAGCCACCTTCGAAGATATGATAAGAAAGTGGTTTTGTGGAAAAACGAAAAAGAAGACTGACAGTCAAAAGGATGAACTTAAAAGACTGAGCATAGTAAAACACGATCAAAACAAATGCCTTTATTACGACTTTTTTTGTTTTCTCTTAATAGGCAGAGCGATGGAAACTCGACCTCTACCAGAGGGACATGACAACTGGATCTGTCTTCAGTCAGGAGACAAAATCCCAATTCTCAGTCGAAAAAGAAAGCGAAGAAGACTCCAAAAAGAATTTTAATGAACCCGATGATTTTGATGTATGTTGGCTCCTGTTTCTGTTTATCTATTTGATTGCTTAAAATCTCAGCTAAGGATCAACTTTATCTTTGATTCCAATCATTTAGCCGTTTGCTAGTCTCCCAGGAAGGAATTTCAACTTCGGAATCAAGGACGTCTTAGGCGATGGAAAGATTACATCAGAAAGTGATCTCACTCGTATTCGGAACAATCTGACTGTTTGGGATAAGACCTGCCTTGGTGGGTCATTTAACTACTACTTAATTCTAACCCTACATTTACGGCGAGCTTCCCTCATGATGGAAGCCGCTGATTTGGATCTTCCTTGATACTAGATGCTTTTGAATACAGGCGAGGAGTACCGAAAAATACGACTGGAGAAACCAATGCGTCAACAGCCACGAATTCTAGTCGAGATGCCCTTCCTCTATGCCGACAAACTGGGACGACCGAATTACGGACCCTACTACGTAAGTTTTGTATTGAGCTCTTTAACAGAATGGATAGTAACAGTGGAAGGAGGTTTTGATGACCTGTTTTTTATTTGTTACCAGCTTTTCATATATGTGGAATGTCACTTTTTGCATTTAGGCTCAGCGTCACAAATACGTGACAACTATTTTACCTAGCTCATGATAATAACTGAAAGATTGATTTGCATTAAAACATTATAATACCTATGCTGCTGAAAATACAACACTGGTAAACTTAATTTCAGACAGGTAGGTAATTGTGGATCTGAGTTCAGTGCTCCCATAAATCTTTTCCCTTAAGTAATCTCTGGGGGTTGAACTACGGCCTGATTGAATCTTTAAATCTTTTTTCTCCTTCTACACTAGTCGGTGGGAATTAGACCACTGATGAAACAGAAGGGCTTGCAGATGCCGGATTTTATGATCAATCCAGTGAAGTATTTTGCAAACAGGGAAGACTATACCGGCACCAGTGCTCTTTACTCACACAGCAAACTGCCCTTGGTTGAAAAATGTAAGTGGTTATTGATATCTACCGTCACTCTATGAAATTAATAAGTTAAATTATGTTTGACACTGACAGGCACTATATTCTTTGAAGTGCTTTCAAAGATGCGCCGGATCTGACGAGTCTGGATGATGCACGGAAGGCAGGCCATAGAATCTTTCCTAAATTCAAAACAAGTCAATCCATCGTGGATGCGCATGTTTTGAGCATAGTGGCAGAGTTACTGTGCCAAAAGGGATCAATTCCGACTGCCCGTAATAGCTACGCATATGCTTGTCAAGCCCTGAGACAGCGATGCGTGCCTTTTACGGCACTTGTCATCTACTCATCCTAGTCAACTGTTGCTTTCATTTTTATTACCTCTATTTCGGAAATAATATCATCAAAGTGGAAGTTTTCGAGATATTCGATCACTGGTTAGCCCACTTAACATCGAGTTTCTTGCATTGTTGTCATTGAGTTTGTGGCAGGCCATCCAGCCGCTCGAAGAATACCACTTTGAGATGGTTTGACAGGTGGCTCAAACTTTGCTCTCCTCGTTTTAGACGTATACAATCAATTGAATGCCAACTCTTCTGTTGGTGAGTGTTTTTAAATGAAGTAGAGGTGTTTTTTAACGCCGTCCTTTACTTTCAAGCAACACCATCTTCTTGCAGCTCCGAAGAAGATTTTCACCGGAAAAGACCTATTCCCTAAGTACCTTCTGGAATTTGATGAGCAACTTCATCAGGTCAATCAATATGTCACTAGAGATGTAGGTTACATCTCAGTTTGTAGTCTTGACCTGTCAAAGTGTAGTTGAAACTCATAACCCATATGATTGGTTATAAGCACTAGGGAGCATCGACAGACATGTATTCGTCCGTCTGTCCGTCTTTCTGTCTGTACGGTACCATCTATTGTGCTCCGGACAGATAGGACTGAAATTGTCCACTTTATCAACCGGCTTAACCCAATTGCTAAAGTTAGGGCGGTAGAGAGTGAGAGAGAGGGAGGGAGGGAGCTATTGCCTCTCACCCTCATCCTTCGTATTCCTGCATTATCCTATCCAAAATAAGGCACACACATTGCAGTTAAAGTATATTTCGTTTAGCAAAGGGCACAAATTGTTTTCTGCATTGTATTTATTCCAATAATGCCGAAAACATTCATTTCAGAGAGTCTCTTTGAGTGAGCACAAAGTGGAGAAGGAGTCAATGGAAGGGAACAGCGCTTGGCGGTGGACCGCTGCAAAACGAAATTCCCTACAGAAGATTCCGGAGAATGCTTAAATAGGGACCTTTTAAAGAGTCATTATCTAAAAGGAGGAAGTCAATCCGTATTAAAACTTGTCTCATTTTTTGTGAATGATTTATTGAATGGGAATAATTGGGGAGCTTAGTTAAAGGAGTCTTTGAGTCTAATCTTTCCACCACACCTCACTAGTTGCAGGATTCTGATTATACCTGCACAGTTGACAGAAATGACATGAAGGAAATGCCATGTTACGAGGTCTACAGAGGGTTAACAACCCACGTAGCTGAAGAGGTAGTACCGATTGCCACAAAGATAACCCATTAAGACGAGAAGATGCCTCTCATCAGTTCAGATGAATTCATCATCCTGCCCTCTATGTAAACTGAACGGAGGAAATTCACTAGCCTCGTGCTCTTTAGGGGTAGTGATCGCTCCACAATTGTCAGACAGCAGTTCACTGCATCCTCCTGAGAACATGACAACTCAAAATATGTCCTCTTGTCTAATCGTCACTCACTGGGATGAAATTTGAGACTCCGTGTTCCCCACACGTAGGCGTGACCTCCTCAGACCTGCCTGTTCTAAACAGATATCCTCCCTCTGTGGCGCTTAAGAGAAGATTAGTCTTGCTTCTGAGTAGGCTCCAGCAAGTCTTCACCGGCGACCCCAATCGATGTGCGAGTCTGGGTGGAAGAGATGGTAGGCTGTCGGTAGGAGGGATAACAAGACGAAAGCCGAAACCTCCGTTTTAAGAGTTAAGAATTCGAGCATTTAAATAAATAATTTAAGTGGGTAGTGTTCAGTTTGTTTCACTTTTTTTCAGAACATTTTCTACTCTCCAGCAAGTGATGGAGGTTTGAGCTTAACCGAGCAACAGGGAGCAGTGATTTGATTGGTCCATTCTGCTCGACTTGTCTCCATTCACAAAAAACTTTTATCTAATTAACTTAAAATGAGCCAATCAAGGGAGATTAGGGTTGGAGAATTCACTTTGTTTTGTGCTTCACTATGAGAAGAGCCTGCCTCCTGCGCCTCCTCTTCCTCCTCCTGCCTCTAGTGATTGTAGCAATTTATCCTAACAAAACGGGATGTCTCTACTCCGGTCGAGGTGAAGCAGTGTGAGGTTTTTTGACCTAATCCTCTTCAGCCGGTGCTCCAATTTCAGATCAGGATCTACTTGTGAGATACATATTTGAGGATAGACAGTACGATCCACTGACAAGACCAGTCTTTATGCGGAATGAAACTGTGGAAGTCAAAGTTGGTCTTGCGATGATCCAAATTGTGCAGCTGGTAAGCTTGATATAGAGTTTTTGCTACCAAAATATTCTCTTCTTCTAGCGAGAAGTAAATTTATGGAGATCTTTTAACAAATTCAACTATTATGACTGTAAAAGTGATGTTTGGAAGGTGATTAGCTTCCATCTCGCCTAAAACTCCAATATCCTCGAGCTTTAAAGAGAGATGCGTCTGTCTGGGAAGGCGCTGCACTCCTGAGCATGAGTGACGGCGCGTCAGTGGAACTTTGTGTAAAGAATGCTGAAATAGTCCGTCCTCATCCGTTTTAACAAATGAGGGAAGGCGGTAGAAGTATTATTTGTTGGCTGACTGATGTATGATGAGAAACAATTTATCTACTCTGAGGTCTCTCAAGCGAACTAGCTCATTGCTAATGCTCATCCCCAAACGATTCACTCACTGTCTAGCCTTAATTTTTAAACATAAACCACAAATTTTAAAGGGAGATAAATGTATTTAATTAATGGATTCTTTCCCATTCATAAGGTTCTCAGATTGTGTTTCCACTCGTTTCTTCCCTTTTAGTGTATTATTCCATTTTAACCTTTATTCCTACGTATATCAAAGTCTTGAACTACTTACAATGATATACTGGCTTCTTGAGATTCCGCTTTAGTCCTTTCTAACATTAAAAAGTGCTTATAAAGAGATTTTGCCTAATGTTGATTCTGTGTTTTTCAACCCTTAGTTACTACTTACTAAAGTAGGTAAAATGCAATTGAGAAGCTGCTGAAGTGCCCAGTACTGAGCCTGTCCCCAATTTTCTTAACTTAAAGAACCAATAATGTGCAATAATAAGTGACTTGGCTAAGACTTCTCTGTTCCAAAGAAGTTTTCTTGATTTTCAAGCATCAGATGAATGGATCAGTACAATGGTGTGTTAGTGGCAGATTTGAAACGCACCGACATCTCCGAGTCATCTACTAATATCGCCATAGCAAGCACGTCAGCATTTTATTTTATCCTAATCTAATCAAGAAAACATCCACAACAGCCTTGTTATACGCGATCACTTTGACCTTGTAACTGCGTGGCGGATGGTTCGATCCTGTTTAAGGGGGTTTACGTTGCCACCACCTTTTTGTCTCTTTGACATAGGATGAGAAATACCAACGACTCAAGAGCAACGTCTGGCTAATGATGGTAAGTCGGACCTTGAAGGACGGTAAGTAAATCTGCCTCCGCCTCTATGTGTCATGTTTTCTTCTCCGCATTTCAAGTCGTGGTACGACTACAGATTTGCCTGGAATCCCAATGAATTCGCGGGTATTGAGTCCATCAACATAGCCGCTCACAAAATATGGAAACCGGATATTGTTGTAATGAACAAGTAAGCCCACCAAATCGGTTAGATGAGCTAATTAATTGTTCATGTTTACCCCCTAGTGTCGACGGTGAATTTGAGGCGATCTGGAAGCCAAATACCATTCTTCACAGCGATGGACGTGTGCTTTGGATACCCCCAGCCATTTTTAAAACCTCCTGTGAAATTGATGTTAGATACTTTCCGTTCGATCAGCAAACCTGCCACATGGATCTGGGAAGTTGGACCTACACTCATAATCAGGTAGAGCTTGAAAAAAGAAACAAGTTCTGATCCAAAATAAACTAATTCCTATCTAGATTCGAGATCCGTGGATAGTTTAGTATGATGGATCTTTGAACACAATAGGTCGAACTCCAGTTCTACGGCAATCAAACCAACATCGACCTGTCAGACTACGTAGCAAGTGGTGTGTGGGACTTTGTGGAAGGACCAGGTGACCTCCGCCTTGATAAACCGCTCCATTACGATGATCGTTTCGAAGCCTCCTCCACGCATCGCCGTGGCAGCGTCTCCAATCGTCCTATCGCCGCTCGCTTGACCTTTAAAATCGTGCTTCGTCGTAAACCCCTCTTCTACATCACCAACATCATTATTCCCTGTGTTCTGATCGCCATATTGGGCATCTGTGTTTTCTGTTTACCTACAGATGCAGGGGAAAAGATAACCCTTTCAATCAGTATCTTGGTAACGCTTGTAGTTTACATGATCCTGGTGAGTAAGATGCTTCCTGCGGGTCCGAAGAGCATTCCCCTGTTGTCACAATTCCTCCTCTTCACGTTTGCAATGACCTTTTTGGCATTGTGCATCACGGCCGCGGTAATCATCAACCTGAATCATCGTAACCCAAAGGCCCATCCTACGGTTCCTTCGTGGATTCAAGGCACCTTCATGAACTGGCTACCCCCCGCTCTCCGTTTGCAAAGGTTCGGTAAAATAGGCATTAGACATTCAAGTCACTTTGCTTCAATAACTATCCACTGTATCTCCTTTACCAAGCCAATTAAAATCGCGGACGGAAGAAGTTCAAGCCGAGAACACGAGCGGGTCGGAGGCAAGCACTTTGGAGGATGGATTTAACGGGCCTGAATCTACTCCACAAACTTGTAGAAGCTGGTGGCAAGGGGAAATAGTCGTAAGCCAATTACTTAACTCTTGCTAGAAAAAGTGTGAGCAGGCAAACTGCGGAAAATATGGCTGGGGAACTGATAAGACAGGAGAATGAGGAACTAGAAAACTATTTATGGAAAGTCATTTTAGGGAGATCGAGGGTTTGATTGCATTAGGAATGTCATCAACTTTTACCTGCATACCGGTTCCATCATCTTAGCTTCAACGACAACGCTCCTTTAGGCTGCGCAGACCAGCTATCAGACATTCCAGCGTCTACTCTTTTCAGGGCAAATCAAACTGCACAATATGCAATCAACTCGATTCTGCAGATATACTGTTGGTAAACATCAACAGAAACTTAAACACCATCATCAAAAGCGTGGAGCGCATTACGAAGCACGTAACAGCCGAAGAAAAGGAGAAACAAGTATGTTTAGACGCTGTGGAAGAGCTTTTAAAAGGATACTCGGATAAGCATATTCGTTTTACGCATTCTTAGGTACAAGAAGACTGGAAACATGTCGCGTCAGTGATTGACAGAGTCCAACTTATCATTTTTATATGCGTGACTACTTGTGGTACGCTGATCATCCTTTTCAGTGCACCATACATTTTCTCCAACATCGACCAATCATCCATCATCAATAAATTCTCCTATAACAATCGAGGCCTGCCATAAATTAAGGCCAATACAACAAGTCAGGAACTGAGAAACCACAATATATTCAAGATACATAAGATAAAGTGTCCATCGAGAAAAACATTTGCATTTGGGGAATGGTGATTAATTCCGCTTTTTCTTTGCCACAACAGTGATCGGCGGAGTATTGGGAGATAAGTAAATTTGTTGAGATATTCGATTCAAGAAGTAGCAACATGCACATGATGTCAAAAAACTAGAAAGTAGAAAAATAATGCAATTGAACATGCCAGCGGTTTTCAAAAGACATTGGAAAGTGAAACCTTGTTCGTGTCAGGCTAGCCATTGCAGCCTAGTAAGAGCCAAAGTGGATAATGAGAGTGGACAATGGTAGGTTCAGTGTTTAATCATGCATGGGATGAAGACCATTCTGCTCAAGGTGCTAAACACTTGATTTGTGAAACCTCACCAGTCTACATCGTTCGCAAACGATCCACTAACATGCATAAAGCAAAGCAGAATACATACCAAACCGTTCCACAAATTCGATGAATTGAGCCGACAGAGAAAGATGACACCACAATAGAAAGAAAGACTAAGTCGTAATTAATCACCAACAAGGAGCAAAAATACCTTCAGGAAACAATTGAGCACAAAAATCGTTGCTGAAGATCAGGTTCTCGAGGTTGTTAATTGCCTAAAAACGGTTAAAGCTAAATACCATAATTACGGTCAGTAATACGACGCATAATATCCCCCCATAAATGCCGATCAAAATGTAGAAAAGTGGCATATCTACGATGAGTGGCTTGATCAGGTGCAAGGTTGAAATGGAAATTATAAAAGTCAGGACTGCAGCGAGGCATGACATCTTTGTATCAAGAGCCATGATCCAACGTAGTAGAGAGGTGACACGCAAAACCAAAAGGGCGCCCCACCGATTGACTTCTGTAAAATTCCAAGGGTCAATCTATCGATGGGAACATGCATGGATTTAGCTTGTGCTTAAATAGCAACTGTGTTAGGCACGGGAAAAAGTTAGGCAAAAAGACTATTTCGATTTGGTGATTTACTGACAATCATATATATGTCTGCACTTTAAACGCACTGACAAATCTTTTACCTACGCTAGTTTACTGGTGCAAAAAATGAAAAAGCAGGCCTTAAGAGCTTAACAAGTTGCGTCCTATAATAATGCATTACACTTTTGATCGTTTGAGCTCAGAGGTGAAGTTTTCCTGATCAAAAATTTTTAGATAAAACATGTTTCTTCTTGTAGCAGAATGTGGCTAAGTTTGGTTAAAAATTCACAGGCCGAAGAAATAACACAAATTCTGAAGTATCCTTGACATCGAGGGCGCCTTTTAGAATGTGTGTGCATAAGGGCATCATGTTGTTAGTTTGTTCCCCATACGTGAGTCACTGTACAAGTACATTCAGATACTATAAATTCATAGACGATAAGCTTCGAATTTCCATCCCGATTCGACCTTAATTCCATTCGAAATGAACTTGTGCTTTGCTCTAGTTGTAACGCGCCTAGAGTTACGTCGTGTTTTCATGAGTTTGTTGTCGCTGCAACGGCGACATTTGCGTCGTTTGGTTTCAGAAACTTCAAATAAATCACCTGTAGAAATGGGTACTCATTGCAAGAGTACTCAGGGACAGTCGGAAATCGTTTACGGGATTCAGCCAACACTAGCAGCTTTAAGTGCCAAGCAAAGGGTCGTCTCATGTGTATTTGTCAGAGATGACCTTCTTCAACTTTCTTCCGAGGTTCTGTGCAGTAAAAATCCCTGGCTTTTGGCTGCTGTTCAACTCGCATCTGAAATAGAGATTAAACCCGTTTCTCGTGAATTTCTCACTGATCTCACCAACGGTCGTTCCAACCAAGGCATCGCCATCAAATGCACACCAATGCCTATGCCTAGTCTTCATGGCATCTCAGCTTCTTCTCTCCTTCACTTCAACCACTGTGCATATAATCGACGCAAGTCTGGGTCCTGTTGTGGTTCATCATCTATTGTCCTATTTCTAAACCAAATTCAAGATGTCATGAACATGGGTAGCATCTTGCGTTCTGCCGTCTTTTTCGGCATCCCAACTGTGCTTATTTCTGCCTTTTTTTCTGCAACACCATCCCCTCTCATCAGCAAACTTAGTGCTGGTGCAATGGAATTTCTGCGATTCTTTCGTGTCACAAACCCCGCCTCCACTTTGAAACAGCTCTCAGATGCTGGATTTGTTACAGTAGGCACAGCTGGAATGCAGCCGGATTCTGTGGAAAATTTGAATTATTGTCCACCGCTAGAGTTGCCTTTGGTTAAACCTGATATGGTGGGTGTAAACTTCATTATTGTTCGAAACTCAGGAAAAGACTTTATCCATTTTGTCCATATTTTTGTAGATAGGTGCGTCAAAAGAAGGCGCTGCTAAGCCCCTTGTTCTAGTGCTTGGTTCAGAAGCTCGTGGCTTGCCAGATAATGTGCTATCAACCTGTAACCTCATTGTTAGAATCCCCGGTCTTGTTGATTGGAAAGTGGAGCATTTGGGTGCATCTTCCATCGCGTCGCCTCTTCCTACCTCTCTCAATGTGGCAGCAGCCACTGCGATTCTGATGTATCAAATTCAAAAGCTTCGCTCATAGACGCATGCATGAATGTAATGCTGTATAGGAAACATGTTCAGTTAAATGAATTGGTTTTTGATGGGGTATTTTCTGGCCGTGTTAATGATTGGAGCTTGATGGCAGTTCGAGGTTGCAGAAGTGTTTGTTGAGTTGGTTCCCAGTTAAATGACTGGTTAAAGAAGTTTTTTCTGTTGTATCTTTGCATAGATCACAGCTTCCTTCATCTAATATTTGACTTTGTTCATGTTTTAAACTTATGCGTGCTGTCTTAGTGAGTTCGTCGAGTAATTGGTAACTAGCTTTAGGCAGTAGAAACGAGTTTTATCTGAAATGTGCGCTATAAAAATGTGAAAAAAAACTGTGTAAGCTGTGGGGGAAAATTAACTTTGAAATGTACACTTACTCTTTCCAAAATTGAAGTAGTATTTGTCAAGCACTCTTGGCATTACTTTGCATCATGCCTCCCCACGAACTGTGCCTTATCAGGAGCTCAGCGGCTCAAATTCAACACCAAAGGCTCCCCAGGAGACCATTCTTCTGCCTTCTTCAGCGGATCCCCTACCTACAAGTAATCTTAAAACTACACTCTCGAATGAACGCAAACCTGAATATACACAACTCTCCTCATTACCCTATGAAACTTCGAAACCAATTTATTCCAGTGGTTTCGGTGACCCACCCCCATTTAGTGAGCAAGTGTACCGGTTTCTTCCTGCTGGATCCGAGTCTGATTTAAATCACTTCAGTAACTCTAACACCAAGTAAGCTTTCAACTTCTTATTAGCCAATACTGAGTTTTATTGCTTAGGTGGGACATTTAAATTGAATTTTGTATGACTCGAGTTTGGTTTTTAATCGCGATTTTCGTTTGATCGCCCTTTTGTGCGCCATTGCGATTTTAGCAGATCAGTAAATCTTTGGAGGTACAAGTTAATATGATCTCTTAGAATCCAAAATTCCCTGCTGAACATTCAATGTACCTATCCATTACTGTCGCCTATCGTCGTAATTAACGTTATATGGATCAGGAGTTGGCTGGGCCACGGTGCATACACCGGCTATCACTAGGTAGACCCATCATTTGAAAAGTCTATCCTTTGCTTGAATGTCCCCCTACTGGAACTGCGAAATACAGTCATATAACCACGACCAACTAGAGGGAATTTCCGCGTATTTTTGTGGAGTTGGTTCAAAAAATACCACAATGTTGTGCAAGTGTTGACCTTTGAAGTCTGACTCACTAAATTTGCTCACGAGACATGAATGGAAGCGGCCGAATGAAGTGGCTGCGTAACTCATGGATTTTGTTAGAACTTTTAATAATGCTTTACCTATTTGGAGAATCACAAACTACGTCCTGGTCGTTATTTTTCCTTTTTTTTCTTGCCTCTTTCCTCTGTTATCAACCAATATTGTGCGCGAATAGTAACTGTTCCAGAAACTGCCCTCACTTGGAGCGGTGTCTTATCCTGGAGAAGGAGCTCACTAAAGCCAAATGGAAGCTCACAGAGGCTACAATGATCAACGCTTCAGTAAATAGCGAGTTAGCTACACTTCGTACTCTAGTCAGTGGTGCCAGAACTGCTGAAGGAGGAGCATCGCAGAGCGCGTCTTCTCAGGGGAAGTGGTCCCATGACCAGCTTTCTACGGAGGTAAACTAATGTATAATGACCAGTGATGCTTTAATCTAATCTAAATGCGATGAAAATGCATATTTAATATCTAAACCTCATTCTTTAACAGTTATAGTCTCTTGTTTTAAGTCATGATGATTATATTTTCTTATGATAGTTAAAGCAAACTACGACAGAAAACGAGATTCTTAGGGACGAGATCCGTCTGCTCCGAGTGCGGTTGGAGAGTTTGGAGAACATTCTTCAGGTGCAGGAAAATGCTGCAGCCTCAACGTGCAACAGATCTGAACACCAGGCGGGAGACACCACCCAGTAGGTTACAGCACACTGCTTCGACGTAGCTGGATGGATGAATAAGAGTATGTCCTCCTTATTTACTAGATCTATTTCAACGTGTGATCGGTTGCTGCGAGCTTGGCGACACCAGGTAATGAGGCTGTTGATTGAACGGGCGGCACACGAGGAGATTTGTATCAAAGCGAAGAAGGCTACCCAAGATCAGCTCAGTAGTCAGAAGGAACAGCTAAAGAGCCTGCACGCTCAAAATCAAGCTCTCAATCGTAAGCTTGTGGCGAAAGCGGCGGCCTTAAAGGCAAATTTTAAAAAGACTGAGGTAAGCATTGTTTTGTGTCTTAAATGAGTCGTCTGAATTTTCTTTTGACAAGTGAGATTTTCTTGTCGTGATGGAAACAGTGTACATCTTGACGGTTAGACAACTTCACAACTTCTGAAGGCGTTCTAATGTGGGGGTGTCTAGATGGTACTTACGAAGGTACGGGGGGTTTAGTTGTCTTCTAATGGAATTGACACCAATAGATCGGTGACTGGCTTCTACCGAGACCACATTTGGTAGTTCCGGTAGTTGCTCTTTCATTTGGATCGTCACAAGCCCTGCAGTAAGTCTTATTAATCATGCGTCATGAATCGAGGCCTTTCTTTAAAAGAAAATTGTGGATGGGAGGTATGCGATTGAATCCAGAGTCACATAGAAAACCTTTCTTTAACGTCAACTTTGATTTGTTAAAACTTGATCCTACTGTCTCGTTGGTCATTATGCAGAACTCAAAATTTTGATTTTTCTGAGAGTCAACGTCGTTTAGTAACGCTTCTGTGGGTCTTTACAGCAGACATCTTTCTCGGCATCCAGTTAATGAAGTCATAATCTTCGTTTGTTTGAGTCAGCACCAGTGTCTCATCCTGTAGTAAGAAGAGACATTGGTTTTGAAGAATGCCTTATCAGCATATAGAGGTGCTGCAAGGTCGAGATAGTAGTGCTTGATTCTCTTAACAGCTCACTTCTTCAACCGTCCATAAATGTATAGGATTACTCTCAAGAGATCCAACACCTGAACCGTTGTCTCCAACTCTCCAACAACTCAAATACCTGCCTGACCGAATGTACAAAGTCAGCACTGACCAGACTTCATGCTGATCTAATTGCCATGAATGAGCAGTGGAATCGTGTATTTACGGACGACGGAGACACCGACTCCTCGCCATTAATGCGACGTCTTCGACGATTGGAACGGCGAATACAGTGTGTGAGTGGACGTCTTCCCATGGTTCGAGTCCTTCTCTCTCGAAAGAGAACTCCTGAAAAGCGAGTAGAGCAAGTGAGCTGTGGGGTACAAGTCTACGGCACCCTTCGTCTCCCTCCTATCAACACCGCCCTTCCCAGTGGTGTAGAAGACTTGAAAGAGTATGTTTTATGGGTGTTTTGGTAGATTTTTCTCTTTAGGATGGTACTGGCTGCTCAGAATGAACTAGCCGTGGCCCTTGCCGATCGGGATCTCATCTCAAAACGCCTAATTACGGACGCGCAAGATTACGATGAAAGGATGAATGACCTCAAGAGAACACGTACGTGTTGATCTATGCTAGATTTTAAAGCTGCTTAGTCATGACTTATGATGCTGCTTTCCTACCACTTTAGATGCTCATGACATGGCGCTGTTGAAACGCAGGCTAGAGGAGATTGAGAAATCTTTGGGAGAAAAAGTCCTGGTAGGTGTCATGACTAGAACGCCTTTCTGAAAGACGAATTCCAGCTTCGTCTCCTCTACCATAAATCACAAGTGAACTTTTTACTCGGTCACGCTAAATTAAACCTCATACTTTTGTAGGAGCTGGACAGAGCAGAAGAACGAGTAGCATCACTGAAGGCCGAGCATAAGCGAATTGTGTGCGAGAATACGGAGGAGAAAGTGAAGCTTGAGACCGAGTTGACCAACACGAAGAGTGATCTCTCCAAAGCCCTCATTTCCGCCCGACGCGCGGAGCGAATGGCCATGCAAGCGAATCATGAGAAGGAGGCACAGGTTTGACTGCTTGCTTTTGTTGGAGACAGCCTCAAGCATTT